GGCGGCGGTCTGTAAATTATCAAGTCTGGACCAGACAATCCAGTGATCAACATATTTTATTTGAAAATTGCAAAAGTAACAAGAAAACTGGAAAAGAAAAATGTATAATATTCACTTCTACACTGCAAGAAATCTGTCTTGAGTGAGTGAGTTTAGTTTTACGCTGCACTCAGCAATATTCCACCTATATGGCGGCGGTCTGTAAATGATCGAGTCTGGACCAGACAATCCAGTGATCAACAGCATGAGCAACGATCTCCGCAGCTGAGATACGATGACATTTGTCAACCAAGTCAGTGAGCCTGGCCACCCGGTCCCGCTAGTCGCTTCTTACGACAAGCATGGGTTTCTGAAGACCAATTCTAACCCGGATCTTCACCCGTCTCGACTCGACTCGATTATTTACAGACCGCCGCCATATAGCTAGAACATTGCTGAGTACGGCGTAAAACGACATACACACAGATGGCGTGCTGTATTTGCAAATGGCGTAACGTATACGAGGCGTACTGTAGACTGATCATAGGTCAGAGAAGATCTACGTGCTAAATGTGTTCTATGGATGGACCTAAATACACCCAACAACCCTCCTCCGCAGACAACGACGTAGTCTGTCAGGAAGTCCATGAACCACATTATTTTCCTACTGCCTAAATGAAGCCAGTCCCGCATCTCCCATCTTACTGGGGCTCCTTTTCAATTTAAATGGGATTATTTGTTACTTTCAAAATTATATGTATTCAGAGACTAAGCGTTAGCCTTGGTTTGTTCACTAGCGTGTACAGGGCGGGGTTTGTTTCAATCTATCTCACAGTCCCTGAACCACATTGTTTTCCCTAATGCCCAGCCCTCCCTGCAATGCTAGAGCTCTAAATGAAGCAAGTCTAGATCTCCCAACTCAATAGGGCTCCTTTTCAATTTAAATAATATCATATGTTACCATCAAAATTATATATATTCAGAGACTAAGCGTTAGTCTAACCACGATATGAAACCATGCTCACGGGCTAAATATTGCTGTCTGACGTTGGTTAACTTCATCCAGACGCAGCAGTTGGGATCGTGTTGTTGCTGGAATATTGCTGAATGGAGTGTTAAACCAGAATTCACTCGCCTTCCATGCCGTCGCTGCATGTCGGGAACTTGTACACGAGAAACAACATGGTTAATTTGAACATCATGAAAACATACACACACTAAATAGCGAGATCATGATCTGGCTAGCGAGTGACCGTTTTCATTTACACTGTGCACGTTTATCCTTCCAAAAGTCATCTACATCCAGACACGCCATCAGGTTAAACATCGACTTGACTTTGGTCAATATTTATACCACAGCGTGACTACATGACGACCAACTCCTGCAACCCAGACATCAACATTGGGCGAAAATAATCGCCCCAACACGAGTCTTTTCTACGTGACTATTCATTTATTATGTTCTTATAATTCCTCTTAGTTCAATTACGTACATATCACTGTTTAACTAGATAAGCAGGGTTAGGTACTTATATAGACTAGTCCAGATGAAAGTTCTTTATTCTCCAGGGGAGCTTCAGGATGAACATCCTACTGCAGAGACGTCCTTCTGGTAAGACTGTTTGTCTACGTACATATCTGACAACTTCAGTGCCATAATCCTTAAGGACAAAACCTGGTTGCAGTTCACACTAATTCTCGACGTTACACCTTAGTGTTTTACCCGTGAAGATCCGGGTGAGAATTGATCTTCAGTAACCCATGCTTGTCGTAAGGCGACTAACGGGATCGGGTGGTCAGGCTTGGTTGACACATGCCATCGGTTCCCAATTGCGCAGATCGATGTTCATGCTGTTGCTCACTGGACTGTCTGGTCCAGACTCGATTATTGACAGACCGCTGCCATATAGCTGGAATATTGCTGAGTGCGGCGTAAAACTAAACTCACTCACTCCTTAGTGTTTTATGATCTAGTGATGTCACTGTAGCTATGGAGACAGAGTTAATTTATGTTCTTTAAACTATTTCAATAAAGTTGAAATCCATGTTGACATGCTGCAGCTTCAAATATGTTTTTAAAAGATATGGTACACTGTTTAGTTGATGGGACAAATGTTTGTTTCAAGATTTAACAAAAAGGGAAACTTTTGAATCATGATTCTTAATGTGAACTATGTGCGATCAACATTGAGCGATGTGGAAATGAATCCAAATCGATGTCGAAACAGTTAGAAAGTGACGAAATTGCGAAATTTGTTCTTTTCTTCTACATTAAATACTTTCTGAAATGTCCCTATCTAAGTAAACATGTAATCTGCGTCTACCTGTTTGCGACTTGTCTACATACGAGAAACCAATAGAGGGAGCACAATAAAACAAACATGCTAATAATGTTCGACTTGTCTGGTCCATTTTGTGCCAAGACTTACAAACTGACAAACGTTTGTCGACAATCACAAACTGTTTGAATGAATAATATGAAACTGCATTTTTATTATTTTAAAATGTGCATCCCGACATAATGCCAGCATCACTTGTAGAGCGTTTCACGGGTATGCCAGCATCACTTGTAGAGAGTTTCACGGGTATGCTAGCACCAGTTGTAGTGTTTCACAGGTATGCCAGCATCACTTGTAGAGCGTTTCACGGGTATGCCAGCATCACTTGTAGTGTTTCACAGGTATGCCAGCACCAGCGTTTCACGGGTATGTAGCATCACTTGTAGAGGTTTCACGGGTATGCTAGCCAGTGCATCACATCACTTGTAGAGCGTTTCACGGGTATGCTAGCATCACTTGTAGAGAGTTTCACGGGTATGCTAGCACCAGTTGTAGTGTTTCACAGGTATGCCAGCATCACTTGTAGAGCGTTTCACGGGTATGCTAGCATCACTTGTAGAGCGTTTCACGGGTATGCTAGCACCAGTTGTAGTGTTTCACGGGTATGCCAGCATCACTTGTAGAGCGTTTTACGGGCATGGTAGCACCACCTGTAGAGTGTTTCACGGGTATGCCGGCCTCACATGTAGAGAGTTTCACAGGTATGCCAGCATCACATATACAGCTTTTCACGGGTATGCTAGCGCCACATGGAGATTGTTTCACGGGTATGGTAGCATCACATGTAGAGTGTTTCCCGGGTATACCAGCATCACATGTAGAGCGTTTCACGAGTATGCGAGCCTAATATGTAGAGTGTTTCACGGGTATGCCAGCATCACATGTACAGCGTTTCATGGGTATGCTAGAGCCACATGGAGATTGTTTCACGGGTATACCAGCATCACATGTAGAGAGTTTCACAGGTATGCTATCATCACATGTAGAGTGTTTCACGGGTATGCCAGCATCACCTAGAGAGCGTTTTATGGGTATGCTAGCATCACATGTACAGCGTTTCACGGGTATGCTAGCATCACATGTAGAGTGTTTCACGGGTATGCTATCATCACATGTAGAGAGTTTACCGGGTATGCCAGCATCACATGTAGAGCGTTTCACGGGTATACCAGCATCACATGTAGAGCGTTTCACGGGTATGCTAGCATCACTTGTAGAGCGTTTCACGGGTATGCCAGCATCACATGTACAGCGTTTCACGGGTATGCTAGCATCACATGTAGAGTGTTTCACGGGTATGCTATCATCACATGTAGAGAGTTTACCGGGTATGCCAGCATCACATGTAGAGCGTTTCACGGGTATACCAGCATCACATGTAGAGCGTTTCACGGGTATGGTAGCATCACTTGTAGAGCGTTTCACGGGTATGCCAGCATCACATTTCGATGTATTTTGACAGAAATCGTCAATAAGACAATTCCTATGTTTGAATTCCGTTAATCATGTCGTGGTTGTTGTGTAATGCACGCACACGCATCCCAAAATGTGCTTGTAAACGTTTGTCATAAAAAATGCAGTGTATTGCAGGAAAGACAAGTTTTCCACATAATGCACGTGCAATGTGTCGGAACATGAATGGTGACATCAACTGTAAAGGGCGAAAGCAAATTGATCATTTCAATACGAAATTTACGACGTAAACGAAGATCAACAATACCAAGATTGAATGCTACTGACCGAAATATCGCCATCGATCATGACATCGATATACCCGCTTCCATTCGACCCAAGATTATTCCAGAAGTGGAAGATCAAGGGTGACCACTCCTACTCAGGATCGATCATCCGGGTGTCTCATCTACCTCATCGATTTGCTACAGCAACATATACTGCAGGAGAGGTGTCTGGTCTTCGCAGAATTTCTGACCAAACCATCAGAAATCGTCTGAGAGAAGTGGGAATTTGAGCATATCGACCGAAAGTTGGACCTGTCCTGACACGACTACACCAACAACGACGTGTTCAATGGTGCAACAGGGTACAGGCATGGAACCTGGAGAATTGGCCACGCCTTTTGTTCAGCGTTGAATGGGAGACAAGTTTTATCGACGTCGACACGAGCGTGGACAGATTTGGTGGAGAAGGCGTCATGGTTTGGGGAGCCATGTCCTGCACGGGTTGATCAGAGTAAGTGGTGGTTCAAGGCAATCTTACAGCAAATCGCTACATCGACCAAATCCTGCGACCTCACCTCCTTCCACTTTTTAACTGCCAGAGGGTGCAGTTTCAACATGACAACGCTCGACCCCACATAGCTCGTGTAACAGTTGCCTATCTCGCCAATGCAAACGCCAATGTTCTTCCATGGCCTTCCAACAAATCGCCTGATCAAAACCCGATCAAGCATCTAAGGGATATACTTGATCGACGCGTCTGTAAACGTCACCATCGTCCTCAGACATTTACACAGCTTGCCAATGTGTTGCAGGAGGAATGGCGAAGAATGGGGTGGGGTGGTCCAAGGCGGGTGGCAGTGACGGGTGCAAGGGGTGGTGTGACCAGGTACTGACCTGAAAGGCCCCATGTGTCCACACACATGCAGAGAGTGAATTGAATTAATGCTGACAATGACAACAATACATTTGTTCATCCCTGTGTCGAATTTCCTTCAGATAGTCCTTTATGTGGGATGTGCACCTCACAGTTCAATCTGTAACGTGAAATGAATTGACGATAGATTTCTTGGACCGAAGGTACTTCTCTTTGCGTAAATTGGCTCGGACGTGATCGTCAAGACCTTTGTCCCAGACTTTCGTTGATGGGAAGGCGGAATAATGAGTGTTTTGTTTAAGAAAGATCCAAGTCGACGTTGTGTGAATTGCCCACGTAAAACCACTCCTGGAACCTGACGACCACGCCCGACGCCATGGGAAGCAGCTGTTCTTCCGGCCTGGACAAGGGGAGAACGTTCTCAGACCCGGGACAGTAAGTAATGTTACGCACTTGCCACGTTCAACACACATGGGCTTGTAACACTATAAGCTAGCAGCAAATTAATTTTTTGCCAACTATTTTGGAACACATGTTATATTTGGGATTACTCTTTCTCAGATTCTAGTGCTGTAGTTGGGTTGAGTCCCATCCGGAATTCGAACCCACACCTTCAGAGTCAGGCACCTAATTGCCAGCACACAAAATCAGCCGTCTAACCCACGCTGCCACCGGGGCTTCGGTGTGTTGGCGATTAGGTGCCTAACGCTGTGGGTGTGGGTTCGAATCCCGGATGGGACTCAACACTACAAAAGTACTAGAATCTGTACGTAACTGAAAAAGGGGCGTTCCAAATATAACATGTGTTACCATTTGACCACTTTCTAAATGGCATTGTGTATTCACCAATCTATTATAGGGCATATTCACATACTGAGGCACATTCTGTTATTTTGAACTAACCATGAGCCACCTGGCAGCACTTGTAACATTAACTCACGTTCCACCCTCTCCTTGCTCGAGACCCGTGAAGGTCCGGGTTAGAGTATTGATCTTCAGTAACCCATGCTTGTCGTAAGAGGCGACTAACGGGATCGGCTGGTCAGGCTCGCTGACTTGGTTGACACATGTCATCGGTTCCCAATTGCGCAGATCGATGGTCATGCTGTAGATCACTGGATTGTCTGGTCCAGTGCGGCGTAAAGCTAAACTCACTCACTCACTCCCCTTGCTCGAATTGCCGAACTGTTGGCACAACATCTGCAATGTACCAGCCTTAATGTTGTATCTCGAAAGAATGATGTAAGCCACATGTTCCGGATATTTACGATATTTTCGGAATGAAACAGATGTAGGGTTGTCATCTCAGATTGTTTTCGTCTGCTTTTTTTACAATGAATGATAATAATAACTGAAAAGCTCGGGTTCGATTCATACATCGGTAGAATGTGCTTCATTCTGATGTTATTGCCAGAATAGCGCTTAGAACGGCTTGACAATAACTTACCCATTATTGCATCTAAAGCATTTAATGTTAGACCCATTCACACCATTACGTACGTCACCCGTGAAGATCCGGGTTAGAAATGATCTTCAGCAACCCATGCTTGTCGTGAGAGGCAGCTATCGCAATCGGGTGGTCAGACACATGTCATCGTATCCCAGTAGTGTAGATCAATGGTCACATGTCATCGTATCCCAGTAGTGTAGATCAATGGTCATGCTATTGTTAACTGGATTGTCTTGTCCAGTCTCGATTATTTACAGACCGCCTCCATATAGCTGGTATATTGCTGACTTCAGCGTTAAACAACAAACCAACCAATCAACATTACGTACTTACAACGTGCAAGTTAATTACAGTGAACGTGATATTGCGCTGATGGGTTCAGAACAATGGAACCCTGCCAGGTGAGGTGAGGTGAGGTGAAATTGGGTTTTACGTCGTGCTTGAGAATATTTCGCTCATATGACGACGTGCATGCGTGTGTATGTGTATGTGTATGTGCGGCTGCTTGTACTAGCCCAGACTTAAGCTGGTTTTATAGTGCTAGCCCACTGAGATACCATGCCGTAGTGAAGCATGAATATCCCACTCAGACACATTATACTGACTCCGAGCCGACCAGTCCTTGTTGTACCCATTAATGCCGAGCGCCAGGCAGGGGCCAACAAGTACCATATTTTAACGTCTTTTGGTATGACGCGGTCGGGGATGTCGTACAGGGTCAACCCCGTTATAGTTGAACCTCATCTGTACAAGAGTGAGTGAGTTGGATTTTACACCGCTTTAAGCAATATTCCAGCAATATCACGGCGGGGTAACAAGAGAAATGGGCTTCACACACTGCACCGATGTGGGAATCGGGCTTTAGGCGTGACGAGCGAACGCTTTAACCACTAGGCTACCCCACCCAGCCCCCCCACGATGCTCCAGAGTCCGTGGTTGGCTCGAGGAATCTAATGATACAACTAACTGTAGTCCAATAAAGTGAGTGATTTTAGTTTTACGCCGCCATTAGAAATATACCAGTAACATCACGGCGGGTGACACCAGAAATGGGTTTCACACAGTGTACCCATGTGGAGAATCGAATCCGAGTTTTGGGCGTGATGAGCGAACGTTATAACCACTCGGCTACCCCACCGCCACAGAGGAATCCTTGGACAGTGGTCAGCAGTATCCCATGATGTCGTAGGACCCTACTTATGACGTAGGTGACGTAACGACGTGTCACCCAGCTTCGTATGGCTTCTTTCTTCGACGGTGACTTGTCTCTTGTAAGATTGGATGTAGCCTCGCAGTCCCTGAACCACATTATTTTCCTTTCTGCCTTGCCCTTTTGGCAATGCTAAAACCCTCCGGTTCTGAATCTACCTTCTCACTGGGGCTCCTTTTCACTTTAAAAGGAATTGTTTCTTTCTATCGAAATTAGTAAATACATATTCCATTCACAACCTGTTATGAATTCCATGCAAACACGCAATTTCGTGCAAGAGTTTTTTTGTGATGCGCACGTGAACATGGTCCGGTTAACCATCCGATGATCCCGTCAGTCGCCCCAACGACAAGCATGGGTTCCTGAAGACCGAATCTAACCCAGATCTTCATGGGCCGTCGCTTATGGTATGTGACAGGCAGAACACCTTCAAAGGGTATTCGAGGACGTGTTCGATTTCAGAAACAAACAGTCCCCGAACTCGAGGAACGTTCAACCAAACAGTAACACATGAGACCACAGAAACAAACAGTCCCCGAACTAGAAGAACGTTCTACCCAACGGTAACACATGGGACCACAGAAACAAACCGTCCCCGAACTCGAGGAACGTTCTACCCAACGGTAACACATGGGACCACAGAAACAAACAGTCCCCGAACTAGAAGAACGTTCTACCCAACAGTAACACATGGGACCACAGAAACAAACAGTCCCCGAACTCGAGGAACGTTCTACCCAACAGTAACACATGGGAGGAACGAACTTCTACCCAACAGTAACACATGGGACCACAGAAACAAACCGTCCCCGAACTCGAGGAACGTTCTACCCAACAGTAACACATGGGACCACAGAAACAAACAGTCCCCGAACTCGAGGAACGTTCTACCCAACAGTAACACATGGGACCACAGAAACAAACAGTCCCCGAACTCGAGGAACGTTCTACCCAACAGTAACACATGGGACCACAGAAACAAACAGTCCCCGAACTAGAAGAACGTTCTACGCAACATGGGTATTCGAGGACGTGCTCGATGTCAGAAACAAACAGTCCCCGAACTCGAGGAACGTTCTACCCAACAGTAACACATGGGACCACAGAAACAAACAGTCCCCGAACTCGAGGCACGTTCTACCCAACAGTAACACATGGGACCACAGAAACAAACAGTCCCCGAACTCGAGGAACGTTCTACCCAACAATAACACATGGGACCACAGAAACAAACAGTACCCAACAGTAACACATGGGACCACAGAAACAAACAGTCCCCGAACTCGAGGAACGTTCTACCCAACAGTAACACATGGGACCACAGAAACAAACAGTCCCCGAACTCGAGGAACGTTCTACCCAACAAGTTCTACCCAACAGTAAACATGGGACCACAGAAACAAACAGTCCCGAACTCGAGGAACGTTCTACCCAACAGTAACACATGGGACCACAGAAACAAACAGTCCCCGGAACGTTCTACCCAACGGTAACACATGGGAACGAACTCGAGGAACGTTCTACCCAACAGTAACACATGGGGGACCACAGAAACAAACAGTCCCCGAACGAACTCGAGGAACGTTCTACCCAACAGTAACACATGGGACCACAGAAACAAAAACAGTCCCCGAACTCGAGGAACGTTCTACCCAACAGTAACACATGGGACCACAGAAACAAACAGTCCCCGAACTCGAGGAACGTTCTACCCAACAGTAACACATGGGACCACACAAAAACAAACAGTACCCCCACGAACAACAGTAACAGGAACGTTCTACCCAACAATAACACATGGGACCACAGAAACAGTCCCCGAACTCGAGGAACGTTCTACCAACGGTAACACATGGGACCACAGTAACGCATGGACCACAGAAACAAACAGTCCCCCGAACTCGAGGAACGTTCTACCCAACAGTAACGCATGGGACCACAGAAACAAACAGTCCCCGAACTCGAGGAACGTTCTACCCAACAGTAACACATGGGACCACAGAAACAAACAGTCCCCGAACTCGAGGAACGTTCTACCCAACAGTAACACATGGGACCACAGAAACAAACAGTTCCCGAACTCGAGGAACGTTCTACCCAACAGTAACACATGGGACCACAGAAACAAACAGTCCCCGAACTCGCGGAACGTTCTACGACCAACAGTAACACATGGGAGAACAGAAACAAACAGTTCCCGAACTCGAGGAACGTTCTACCCAACAGTAACACATGGGACCACAGAAACAAACAAGAACGTTCTACCCAACAGTAACACGTGAGACCCCTGAGAATCGGGCTACAATACTGATGTAGGGCCTACTGTCGATTGTTTCCTGAACACCACGTGGTGGTTATCGACTCTTTTTAACGCGACAGTCAACAATAGTCTATCTATGCTACGTCGGTCTTTGAACAATAACTCCTGACCTGACAATCTAGTGATCAACGTCATGAGCATCTATACTATGGGGTACTATGACATGAGTCAACCAAGTCATCGACCTGAACACCCTTCCCGATAGTATTCCATTACCACACTGGCGCGGTTGGCAAGACGGTTAAATAGTAATTAGAACAAACCCATGAAGATCCGGGTTAGAATTGGTCTTCAGCAACCCATGCTTTTCGTAAAAGGCGACTAACAGCATCGGCGCTGACGTGGTTGACACATTTCATCGTATCCAAATTGCGTAGGTCCATGTTCATGATGTTGTTCACTGGATTATCTGGTCCAGATTCGATTATTTACAGACCGCCGGAATATAGCTGGAATATTGCTGAGTGTGGCGTTAAACAACAGGAACAAGCAAAATATTGTCTCCAAACTATAATTCGTAGGCATATTTCATAGGCATAAAGCAGTGCTGATAAAAAAAAAATGAAGAAAATGCCATTGCCTTGAGCATGTACTAGTTGTGTGGATATGTGCGCTATATAAATATCATATAATAAGAAAAAGAAGAAGATGTTCGTTACAATAACAATCTGCAGTGTCGGGATACCATGACGTCACAACGTCACCAAACAGTACCGGAAGCATCAACAAGCGTGAGACATGAGCATCTTTTAATTTCCTCATCCTGATTAGTGGCGACATTCCTGAATACCATCCCTAGCGTGAGTGTGTGAGTGAGTTTGGTTTTACGCCGCACTCAGAAATATTCCAGCTATATGGCGGCGGTCTGTAAATAATCGAGTCTGGACCAGACAATCCACTGATCAACAGCATGAGCATCGATCTGCACAATTGGGAAAAGATGGCATGTGTCAACCATTTCAGCGAGCCTGACTACCCGATCCCGTTAGTCGCCTCTTACGACAAGCATGGGTTACTGAAGATCAATATTCTAACCCGGACCTTCACGGGTAGCCATCCCTAGCATTTGGTTTCAGAAAATAATGTTTTTTAATATTATCCTGAATATAAATCATCATAAACTGCATCTTTAATGTATTCTGACGTGAGATAGTAATCAAGCTTTAAATTATTCTACAAAAAATGGTTATTAACATATGGAAATGGTAACGGATACAAAACCAATTGAGTCGTCCTATACCTGAAATATTGCTGAGAACGACGTTAACCAACATACAAGACAAACAAATACCTGGAAACATACATCATCAAAACTATGTAACACTTATGTACTGGTAAGATTTTGTAGGAAGTTCATCATGATACAGTTTTTGTCGGTTACAATTCATGGTTGATACTCGCATATTGATATAGGTGATGATTGGTGGACCTGTGGAGGAGAAGTCTGACCACAAATTATTAGTAATTAGTTATTAAAGTACATAATAACATACAAAAAAATCGCAAAATATATACGTCACTACTTAGGTGGCTTCCAATTGGTCACACGAGTTCTCTGACATTGGAACCCCGAATGACTTGAAGGACAAGGAATTGCTGCTGAAGACGTATAGGGCTTCCATTCCCCAAACGTTAAATGCCTGTTATAATGTTAAACCTGTGCGTACTCGGCAGACCAGGACGTCCTGTGGTGGCCTTGGAGACTATCATTTGTCTGGATAATGTCCAGTGTGTGGTGTTTGTTTGTTTTAACCCAATACTCAGTGATATTCCAGCTCTATTGTCGGTCACTGGAGGCCCGTGAAGATCTTCAGTAACCCATGCTTGTCGTAAAAGGCGATTAACGGGATCGGGTGGTTAGGTTTGCTGACTTGGTTGACACATGTCATCGTATCCCAGCTGCATAGAGCGATGCTCATGGTGTTGATCACTGGATTGTCTGGTCCATATTCGATTGTTTACAGACCGCCGCCACATAGCTGAAACATTGCGGAGTTCGGCGTAACACTAAACTCACCCACTCAATCTTTCTAACAGAGTGTGGCGTTAATCAACCACCAACCAACCATCAATCACTGGATTGTTTGGTCCAGACCCGGGTAATTATAGAGGACATACATATAGTTTGAATATTACCGACAATAAACACAGCGGAATAGGAATGCGGCCCAGGAAGTTTAGATCTGACTCAAAGTTACATAAATCTGTGACTTCTAATTGCTAATCCATTCACACCTTATTTATGTCATGACTATCAGTGAAATGCGAATCTTTCATTCAGGTCAAAGGGTCCTCGGGGTCGGCAGAAACGCATTCACAGCTTGACGTCATCGAGTGACGTTAACTTGCACGTGGAAGAGTCCTCGAAAGCCGCCAACCAATCAAAGCCAGTCAAATCTGAAAAAGAGGCCAGTGCGAATGCGGAAAGCAGACCTGCGAAGCAGTTTTCTTCTGAAACTATTGAGAATAAGTCGTTCAAAATTCCAACCCCGGTTGGGTCTCATCGAACAAGCCAGACATCCATCGGCCACAGAGGAATCAGCCTTGACGATTATCCAAAGTCCGTGCAGCATTTGTTGCTAGGCAACGTGAACGAGTTCAAGGATGAGAGGCCCAGAGAGATTCGTCTCTTCGTTGCAGCCTGTGAATCAGGTAAGCTTCGTTAGCTCACCTGGATCCCGCTCCACAAAGCGATCATAAGTCTGTATTAAAGAAGTGGAGTTACGTGCATCTTAGTCAATACGTACACAACTTTGACAACTTACGCACAACTTTGTGGAACAGGGTCCATATTCGAATAGTTTTGCGCAAATGTCACGTTTGCATGATATAATATTGTACTGGACACTAATTCAACGTTTATTTACAGTTGTGATTTTAGGCTTCACTAAGCAATACATAAGCTATTAGTCTAAGTAAACTTAGGCTCAGTATTATTCGTTACACTGCTATAGTAAACTTAGGCTCAGTATTATTCGTTACACTGTTATAGTAAACTTAGGTTCAATATTATTCGTTACACTGCTATAATAAACTTAGGCCAGTATTATTCGTTACACTGCTATAGTAAACTTAGGCCAGTATTATTCGTTACACTGCTATAGTAAACTTAAGTTCAGTATTATTCGTTACACTGCTATAGTAAACTTAGGTTCAGTATTATTCGTTACACTGCTATAAGTAAACTTAGGCCAGTATTATTCGTTACACTGCTATAGTAAACTTAGGCCAGTATTATTCGTTACACTGCTATAGTAAACTTAGGTTCAGTATTAGGTTCAGTATTATTCGTTACACTGCTATAGTAAACTTAGGTTATAGTAAACTTAGGTTCAGTATTATTCGTTACACTGCTATAGTAAACTTAGGCTCGTTACACTGCTATAGTAAACTTAGGTTCAGTATTATTCGTTACACTGCTATAGTAAACTTAGGCCAGTATTATTCGTTACACTGCTATAGTAAACTTAGGCCAGTATTATTCGTTACACTGCTATAGTAAACTTAGGTTCAGTATTATTATTCGTTACACTGCTATAGTAAACTTAGGTTCAGTATTATTCGTTACACTGCTATAGTAAACTTAGGCCAGTATTATTCGTTACACTGCTATAGTAAACTTAGGTTCAGTATTATTCGTTACACTGCTATAGTAAACTTAGGTTCAGTATTATTCGTTACACTGCTATAGTAAACTTAGGTTCAGTATTATTCGTTACACTGCTATAGTAAACTTAGGCCAGTATTATTCGTTACACTGCTATAGTAAACTTAGGTTCAGTATTATTCGTTACACTGCTATAGTAAACTTAGGCTCAGTATTATTCGTTACACTGCTATAGTAAACTTAGGCTCAGTATTATTCGTTACACTGCTATAGTAAACTTAGGCTCGTTACACTGCTATAGTAAACTTAGGCCAGTATTATTCGTTACACTGCTATAGTAAACTTAGGCCAGTATTATTTGTTACACTGCTATAGTAAACTTAGGCCAGTATTATTCGTTACACTGCTATAGTAAACTTAGGCCAGTGTTATTCGTTACACTGCTATAGTAAACTTAGGCCACCATTATTCGTTACACTGCTTAAGTAAACTTAGGCCAGTATTATTCGTTACACTGCTGTAGTAAACTTAGGTCAGTATTATTCGTTACACTGCTATAGTAAACTTAGGCCAGTATTATTCGTTACACTGCTATAGTAAACTTAGGTTCAGTATTATTCGTTACACTGCTAAAGTAAACTTAGGCCAGTATTATTCATTACACTGCTATAGTAAACTTAGGTTCAGTGTTATTATCGCTCGCTCACTCACTCATGACACACGCACACACAAACTCACTCATGAACTCATGAAACAGTTGTTCAGGCCAAAAATGTTATTGTCAGAAAAAGACTATTTTTCAAATTTCCCACATCACATGAACCATGCTCATTAAAAAAATAATAATAATAATTATTTGTCTCACAACACTGCTCACTTGTCAGACAATAGTGCACAACCAACATTTGGGGTGATGTTTGAGCAGCCTTTGGTACTGAATCCATTTACTTGGCTCTCAGATTCATAGATGTACACTGAGATGATCAAGTGTGTCTCCTTCATTGAAGTCTGCTAATGAAAAATATAAAACCATCTATTGTAAAGAAGATCAATACTGGACTTACTTCAAAGTTGCCCTCAAGGGAACACCATCCCTTCAGTAAATGAAACAATTTCAAGCTTTCAACCATAGTTTTATGAGATTAATTAAAATATTGTTTTTGCAAGAGTATATCAATTCTAATGTGAATCATTATTCTATTAATAACCATGAGAAAAGTTAATAAAGGTCTTAAGGTCTGTGAGAGTCCTCCCAGGATCACCAGCTGAACCGATCTCATTGTGTTATTGATGTAAGCTTGCTGGCTGGGCTCTCTCCAGGCACAATGTCAGCAAGTATTTATTGGATTTCTTTGAGGGCGTGGACCAGCGGAAAGAAAAGTGTCATTACTTGAACAAATACATCAAGCTTAGTGCTCTCGTTAAAGCTGAACCATGGTTGTACAGGTGTAATTAGCCGGTATTAACAGGGGAATGGTATTGAACAAAGGCTATGATGCTGGTATTGATCAGTGGTTATGTGTTGTGTTATCTACCTGACTAAAACACTAGTTAGATAGCAACAGTACAACTGGTGGAGACATTACTCCAGGTAGATAGGGACATTACTCCAGGTAGATAGCAACAGTACAACTGGTGGAGACATTACTCCAGGTAGATAGAGACATTACACCAGTTAGATAGCAACAGTACAACTGGTGGAGACATTACTCCAGGTAGATAGGGACATTACAACTGGTGGAGACATTACTCCAGGTAGATAGGGACATTACTCCAGGTAGATAGCAACAATACCACTGGTGGAGACATTACTCCAGGTAGATAGGGACATTACTCCAGGTAGATAGCAACAATACAACTGGTGGAGACATTACTCCAGGTAGATAGCAACAGATAGCAACTGGTGGTGGAGACATTACCCAGGTAGATAGGGACATTACTCCATAGCAACAATACAACTGGTGGAGACATTACTCCAGGTAGATAGGGACATTACTCCAGGTAGATAGCAACAGTACAACTGGTGGAGACATTACTCCAGGTAGATAGCAACAGTACAACTGGTGGAGACATTACTCCAGGTAGATAGGGACATGGCATTAGGTAGAGACATTACTCCAGGTAGATAGGGACATTACTCCAGGTAGATAGCAACAATACAACTGGTGGAGACATTACTCCAGGTAGATAGGGACATTACTCCAGGTAGATAGCAACAGTACAACTGGTGGAGACATTACTCCAGGTAGATAGGGACATTACTCCAGGTAGATAGCAACAGTACAACTGGTGGAGACATTACTCCAGGTAGATAGGGACATTACTCCAGGTAGATAGCAACAGTACAACTGGTGGAGACATTACTCCAGGTAGATAGGGACATTACTCCAGGTAGATAGCAACAGTACAACTGGTGGAGACATTACTACAGGTAGGTAGGGACATGGCACCAGGTAGGGACATTACTCCAGGTAGATAGCAACAGTACAACTGGTGGAGACATTACCCAGGTAGGTAGGGACATTACACCAGGTAGGTAGGACAGTACAACTGGTGGAGACATTACTCCAGGTAGATAGCAACATTACAACCAGGTGGAGACATTACACTCCAGGTAGGACAGGGACATTACTCCAGGTAGATATTGCAACCAGTACCACTGGTGGAGACATTACAACAGGTAGGACATTACACCAGGTAGATAGCAACAGGTAGGGACAACAGGTAGGTAGGGGACATTACTCCAGGTAGGTAGCAACATTGCAACAGGTGGAGACATTATTCCAGGTAGGTAGGGACATTGCAACCAGGTAGGATAGCAACAGGTACAACTGGTGGAGACATTACTCCAGGTAGATAGGACATTTACAACCAGGTAGAGGACATTACTCCAGGTAGGTAGGGGCATTGCACCAGGTAGAGACATTACACCAGGTAGGCATTGCAACCAGATAGGGACATTGCACACCAGGTAGGACATTACCCAGGTAGGTAGGACATTGTGCCTGGTAGGGACATTACACCAGGTAGGTAGGGACATTGCACCCAGTAGGGACATTACACCAGGTAGGTACATTGCACCAGGTAGGGACATTACACCAGGTAGGGACATTACACCAGGTAGGTAGGGACATTACACCAAGCAGGTAGGTAGGACATTACACCAGGTAGGTAGGGACATTGCACCCAGCCAGGTAGGGACATTACACCAGGTAGGTAGGGACATTTGCACCAGGTAGGTAGGACATTACAACCACCAGGTAGGGACATTACACACACCAGGACATTAGGTAGGGACATTGCACCAGGTAGGTAGGTAGGGACATTACACCAGGTAGGACATTACACCAGGTAGGTAGGGACATTGCACCAGGTAGGTAGGGACATTACACCAGGTAGGGACATTACACCAGGTAGGTAGGGACATTACACCAGTAGGTAGACATTACATCCAGGTAGGGAGGACATTGCACCCAGGTAGGGACATTACACCAGGTAGGGACATTACACCAGGTAGGGACAGGTAGGGACACACCAGGTAGGGACATTACACCAGGTAGGTAGGGACATTACACCAGGTAGGTAGGTAGGGACATTGCACCAGGTAGGGACATTACACCAGGTAGGACATTACACCAGGGGACATTACACCAGGTAGGTACCAGGTAGACATTACACCAGGTAGGGACATTACACCAGGTAGGTAGGGACATGCACCAGGCAGGTACACCAGGTAGTAGGGACATTACACCAGGTAGGTACATTACAACCAGGTAGGGACATTACACCAGGTACCAGGACATTGCAGGTTAGGGAGATTACAGGTAGGTAGGGACATTGCACCAGGTAGGGGCATTGCACCAGGTAGGACATTACACCAGGTAGGGACATTGCACCAGAGGGACATTACACCAGGTAGGACATTACTCTCCAGGTAGGTAGGGACATTGCACCAGGTAGGGACATTACACCAGGTAGGTAGGGACAGGTAAGTAGGGACATTGCACCAGGTAGGTAGGGACATTACACCAGGTAGGGACATTACACCAGGTAGGTAGGACATTGCACCAGGTTGGGACATTATCTCAGGTAGGTAGGTGCACCAGGTAGGTAGGGGACATTACACCAGGTAGGTAGGTAGGGACATTACACACCAGGTAGGTAGGTAGGGACATTGCACCAGGTAGGGACATTACACCAGGTACCAGGTAGGGACATTGCACCAGGTTGGGGGACCTGGTGGGTAGGGGACATTACACCAGGTAGGTAGGTAGGGACATTGCAACAGGTAGGTAGGTAGGGACATTACACCAGGTAGGGGCATTGCACCAGGTAGGTAGGTAGGGACATTGCAACAGGTAGGTAGGGACATTACACCAAGTAGGGACATTACACCAGGTAGAGGGGACATTACACCAGGTAGGTAGGAACATTACACCAGGTAGGTAGGAACATTACACCAGGTAGGTAGGTAGGGACATTACACCAGGTAGGTAGGTAGGGACATTACACCAGGTATGAAGGGACATTACACCAGCTAGGTAGGGACATTACAACAGGTAGAGAAGGACAATACAACAGGTAGAAAAGGCCAATACAACAGGTAGAGAATGATATTACACCAGGGGCTCCTTTCACGAAGCAACCTTTACTAAGGTTAACCTTAACTCCCATTCTTTAGCATTGCATTAAGGTTACCTTAGTGACTTACGATCACCTGAGTGCTTTGTGAAAGGAGGACCAAGTAGGACAACACACCAGAAAGTGCTGAACCAACACACTCAATATTGACATATTTTTTTTCAGACAGTTGTGTGGAGAGGCTCGCCATTATGCGTGACGTGTTCCAGCCTCTCTCGGATATGTGTTACAGTAATGGCTTCAGTTTGGAAATCCTTGATCCTCACTGGACAGGTTCCAATCAGTCAGCACCAAACCAGAGCTATCTGACTCAACAACTACTGCGGGAAAGTGAGAATGTACCAACTGTTATGCTAGTAAGTACTTCATACCAAATACCATTCTTCTTATTCAACATCTTTAAGAAATCCTTAGATAGTGAGTGAGTGAGTTTGGTTTTATGCCCCTTTTAGCAATATTCCAGCAATATCACGGCGGGGGACACCAGAAATGGGCTTCACACATTTTACCCATGTGGGAAATCGAACCCGGGCCTTCGGAGTGACGAGTGAACGCTTTACCCACTAGGCTACCCCACCACCCCTAAGTCCTTAGATAACAGAATATAGTAGCAAATAGTTTTCATTTCAATACATTTTAATGCTTTTTACAAAGAAATGTTTCACTTTATTTTGTAAATTATATGATTTTTATGCATTATTTTCCTAAATATTTAGGAGAGAAATAATTAAAAATCAGAGAACGAATGCCTTCTTCAGTCAAGTCAGTCAGCTGGGTTACTGTAACTTAAATGCCACACTTCTCTAAAAATCAACATTGCATTTCTCTCATTAATCAGTCCCCAGCAAAGCTACCATATAATTTATTCAGAATGAATTTACGTATTAAGATTACAATATGAAATTAAAAAAGTTCGAATGAATTAATGCAACATTGCATTAAATCAACCCTCTCACCCTCTACCAACCAAACTTTATTTCAAGCAAACCCCATAGAGTTATGTCCCTTGGAACGGTCTTTAAGAATATCCTATAACACAACTTGTGATTGAGGCCAGTTCAGGACACACCCACATAATGCGACCGTTTTCGATGTACGGATTTACATTCCATACATGGCAAGTGTTATCTGTTTGGAAGCTGTTCGCCTCAAAGTTGTAAGGGATAATTTTTGTATCAATATGAAGCTAAAGTGAGTGCATATGCCCCAATATATATATTATAGACCAACATATTGTGGAGCATGACATTGTGCCTTTAACGTTAGACAATAGCTTTAATCAAGATCTGTCAAGATGGGTCATATCAGATTTCTGTCAATGTAGCAGTAAATATTATAAACCTTTCTTTCCCAGGTCTCAAGTTACTTTTTTAATGTCCAAATAAAATATCTGTTTTTCCAGGTTTTGCTAAATGACAAGCTGGGCAGTTGTCTCCCCTGGATAATACCGGATGATGTTTTCACAGACACTTTGTCACTCATTTCTGATGAAACTGAAAAAAAGCTGCTTGAGTCAAGTTACCGTAGTGATGACACTGTTCAACCTCTCACCTATAACCTGACAGTGGTCAACTCAAATGAAAGTAAGAAGGTTAAGAACGCACAGAAGAAAATGGCTCAGATCGAGGAGGTGTTGAGGAAATACATGAGCGAGGAACACAAGGAGAAATACCTTAAGTCAGGTAAAATGGTTGATAAGTTCACACAACCCATAACCTTAGTATTTACCCATAGTGAGTGAGTGGGTCTTACAACGCTTTTAGCAATTTTAAAGCTATATCACGGCGGATGACACCAGAAATGGGCTTCACCCATTGTACCCATGTAGGGTATCGAACCCGGGTCTTGGTGTGACGAGCGACCACTTTAACCACTTGTCACCACCAACAGCAACATCCAAAACATTCTCTTAGCAATACTATCAGCCAAACAAGTCAGTTAAAATGGTATGGGTTGCCCTATGTGGTAACATAGGATTTGAATCCCATACATTCAGAAAGAATAAGCGGACGTATCTTGTTCCAATGTAATGTTTACTGTGAACTTTAGTATAAGCGGCACCATCACATAGCACTTAGCCCCTTGCATGCATTTCCTGTGAGGTCTCATTGCATAAGATTGTATAGGGACCATTAATTTATAATAATAATAATAGTCCATTTATCATGCACATTTCTCCACGCATAATGCATGCTCGAAGCACCCAAACAATCTGATTATTATTACCCCGGATAGCCAAAGCTGCCTGTGAAGCGTTGAAGGTTAATAGTCACATGACTTATTCCACCGTGTACGTATTTTCTGCTGGGTGAACAGAGGCGATTTTGAATAAACTCACTTGCCTATGGTGAGCCCACACGTATCACGTGCTTCATCATGAGACAGGAATGAAGTCCTAGAAACTCTCAGGAGTCAAGCTGCCAAACACAGTCACCTATCCAAGGACTCTCCATGCTCAACTGATGGCCCTTGTGTATTGTTGTACTGACTGACTGAGTTTAGTTTTACGCCGCTTTTAGCAATATTCCAGCAATATCACGGCGGGGGACACCAGAAAGTGTATTGTTGTATGGCTATGAGCTTGGAAATTTTTCTTCTGACTGTTTAAATTCAAAGTCTCCAATTCAATTCCAGTCTCTGAAAATATATCAATAGATATTTGTCATTTTATTAAAATACAAAAATACTTTTCGCACTGCTGCCATAAACATACAAACATTTTCCAAGAGTGAGTGAGTGAATTTATTTTTACGATGCTTTTAGCAATATTCCAGCAACATCAGGGCAGGGGAACCAGAAATGGGCTTCACACATAGTACCCATGTGGGTATTCGAACCCGGCTCTTCTGCGTGACGATGCGTGACGAGCGAACGCTTTAACCACTAGGCTAACCCACCACCCCATTTTCCAAGAAGCATGCATCATATTTTCAGCTTTTCTCATGAAATAGCGCATGAAAATTGTTTAATGTCTTTGCATTGGTCTGTGGACCCTTGAAACACTACATTCTGTGATATAATTCAAACTCTGGTATTGTTTCAAGGAAGTTCACTCCCTCACTCTTTCATTAAAGTATTCATTCATTCATTCATCATTCATTCAGTACCAAAATCACTCCTTTGTTGCATTCACTCTGACATCATACATTAACTCATGATCTCACACTCGGGCGGTGGGGTAGCCTAGTGATTAAAGTGTTCGCGAGACCCGGGTTCGATTCCCCACATGGGTACAATGTGTGAAGCCCATTTCTGGTGTCCCCCACCGTGATATTGCTGGAATATTGCTAAAAGCGGCGTAAAACCCAACTCACTCACTCACTCATGATCTCACTCATTCCCACCCGTAGAAAACAATGTCCCCTCAGATGATTAAAAATCCAACACAGCAAGTATTCAGCAATATTACAGCTGTTGTAAATGGGACGGTGCGGTAGCCTAGTGATATTGCTGGAATATTGCTAAAAGCGGCGTAAAACTAAACTCACTCACTCACTCACCTGTTGTAATTGATGGAGCACAAGAAGCAGCGATTCAGGTGGTCGGAGTGACATCATGCTCATTCACACATCATACACATCCATCACTATAGGCTTACCCGGGTCTTCGGGGTGACGAGCAGAGACTTTAACCACTGGGCTACCCACTGCTGCACTTGAGAATGTAGAGCACAAAGTAATTAGAGCTTTTCACGAAAATTTTTAAAATTTCATTTTAATTTCAGGTTTGGAAACAGAGATAAATCTTGGCCTTGTATCGAAGAGAGTTCAGCCGGACAATGTGTTTGTGGTGATGCGGTCTTTCAAGGATGTGTCGAGCGTGTCAGAGGTGCACATGGACGTAGTGAACGGGGAGAGGGACCAGCACTCCCTGGAAACTATACAACATTTGAAGGAAATTATCAACAATAATGTGCCAAATTCCAACATTGTTAAGTTTGAGCTGCAGTGGACGCCGTATGACTTTGACCCCGCGAAGGTTCATGAGCATGATCAGTACATAGAGAATCTCCGTGAAACCATTCAAAAGGAGCTGAGAAAAAAGTTGCAAAGCATCATGGACAACTACAGCCCGACCATCTTACCATTCAGTGAGTCATATGCATGTGTTTTCTATTAGTTCAATGTTATCTCGTCTTAGTACATTGAACCTGAGTAAACATTACCTATATGTTCTCTTATGAAAATGTGTTAGTTCAGTCAATGGAGTTGTATTGGCCTGCTCTTAGAGTTAGGCCTGTTAGTTTTATCTAACTTATACCATTTTCTCTTTCTCTCAAGGAATCACATTTCAGGAAATATACACAAACCCATGCATTGATTTCCATTAGTCTCAGAATGTGAAATTACCTCCCCTTGTTTTTCGTTAACATTTTACCAGGAAACCAAAAGTGAAGATAAAGAAACCGTAAGGGGAGGTAACTCATATTGCCTAGGAAGCAAAGCTTGCACCTGTTTGGATGAACATGAAGACATCCTCTCCAACAGAAATAATTTTGATGGCCTTCTTTTCCATCTTAGTCAGTTTTTCAGTGTTAAATTTCTCTATTGTAATTAATGGGACAGGCCGTCATGTTGAAACTATACCAAACCCAACCTTGAGCCTGTTTGTAACTCACATACTAATTAATTCATTAGAGTTGGTAGTGTAGCAAATCACACTGGCCTTGGAAAAACAATGGCAGGTAATTTAAGATTTACAAGAACCACTGGAATCAGAGACCATATAATAAATTAATAGAATATTTATATGGTCTCTGCTGGAATGCTTCAAGGAATTTGAGTCAGTTTACTGAAATGCGAGCCTTGGAGATAAAGAGGAGGAAATATTTGTTGCTGCCATAAAATTCCCTATCCCCACAAACCTTGTCCACATAACCTCAGTGTGCGATATAGTTTCCAAATTTTGCTAGCCAGTTGGGCTAGTTATGCCTGAAAGTTAGTAGTCCACCACAAAATAATTCACAATCTTGCATGATTTAAAAATGTATTAGAACTTAACAAGTTGGAGAGAGTGATATATTTACAAAATGACCCCATGAAAATTCACTAGCCAGTTGGGCCAGTGACTGTGGAGATGTACTGACCCGACTGGATTTTTACTGGCCACGTGCTAGCAGGCCAGTGGCTATTTCACACACTCCATAACCTTGTCCAAAGAGATTAACTCCATCCACTAACTGGCAAGATAAGGATGTCAATTGTGGGAAGAATACTGGACTGCCACATTGTCTCTGAGTAATCATTTTGATAGAAACAATGAATTCATGTTTAATTAAAAAGGAGCCCCAGTGAGTTGGGATATTCAGAACCCGAGGAAATGTAGACCTACTTCATTTAGGGTTTAGCATTGCAGGGAGGGCTGGACAGAAGGGGAAATAATGTGGTTCAGGGACTGTGAGACAACCTACATTGCAGGGAGGGCTGGACAGAAGGGGAAATAATGTGGTTCAGGGACTGTGAGACAGACTACATTGCAGGGAGGGCTGGATAGAAGGGGAAATAATGTGGTTCAGGGACTGTGAGACAGACTACATTGCAGGGAGGGCTGGACAGAAGGGGAAATAATGTGGTTCAGGGACTGTGAGACAACCTACATTGCAGGGAGGGCTGGACAGAAGGGGAAATAATGTGGTTCAGGGACTGTGAGACAACCTACATTGCAGGGAGGGCTGGACAGAAGGGGAAATAATGTGGTTCAGGGACTGTGAGACAACCTACATTGCAGGGAGGGCTGGACAGAAGGGGAAATAATGTGGTTCAGGGACTGTGAGACAGACTACATTGCAGGGAGGGCTGGATAGAAGGGGAAATAATGTGGTTCAGGGACTGCAGAGACAGACTACATTGCAGGGAGGGCTGGACAGAAGGGGAAATAATGTGGTTCAGGGACTGTGAGACAGACTACATTGCAGGGAGGGCTGGACAGAAGGGGAAATAATGTGGTTCAGGGACTGTGAGACAGACTACATTGCAGGGAGGGCTGGACAGAAGGGGAAATAATGTGGTTCAGGGACTGTGAGACAGACTACATTGCAGGGAGGGCTGGACAGAAGGGGAAATAATGTGGTTCAGGGACTGTGAGACAGACTACATTGCAGGAGGGCTGGACAGAAGGGGAAATAATGTGGTTCAGGGACTGTGAGACAGACTACATTGCAGGGAGGGCTGGACAGAAGGGGAAATAATGTGGTTCAGGGACTGTGAGACAGACTACATTGCAGGGAGGGCTGGACAGAAGGGGAAATAATGTGGTTCAGGGACTGTGAGACAGACTACATTGCAGGGAGGGCTGGACAGAAGGGGAAATAATGTGGTTCAGGGACTGTGAGACAGACTACATTGCAGGGAGGGCTGGACAGAAGGGGAAATAATGTGGTTCAGGGACTGTGAGACAGACTACATTGCAGGGAGGGCTGGACAGAAGGGGAAATAATGTGGTTCAGGGACTGTGAGACAGACTACATTGCAGGGAGGGCTGGACAGAAGGGGAAATAATGTGGTTCAGGGACTGTGAGACAGACTACATTGCAGGGAGGGCTGGACAGAAGGGGAAATAATGTGGTTCAGGGACTGTGAGACAGACTACATTGCAGGGAGGGCTGGACAGAAGGGGAAATAATGTGGTTCAGGGACTGTGAGACAGACTACATTGCAGGGAGGGCTGGACAGAAGGGGAAATAATGTGGTTCAGGGACTGTGAGACAGACTACATTGCAGGAGGGCTGGACAGAAGGGGAAATAATGTGGTTCAGGGACTGTGAGACAGACTACATTGCAGGGAGGGCTGGACAGAAGGGGAAATAATGTGGTTCAGGGACTGTGAGACAGACTACATTGCAGGAGGGCTGGACAGAAGGGGAAATAATGTGGTTCAGGGACTGTGAGACAGACTACATTGCAGGGAGGGCTGGACAGAAGGGGAAATAATGTGGTTCAGGGACTGTGAGACAGACTACATTGCAGGGAGGGCTGGACAGAAGGGGAAATAATGTGGTTCAGGGACTGTGAGACAGACTACATTGCAGGGAGGGCTGGACAGAAGGGGAAATAATGTGGTTCAGGGACTGTGAGACAGACTACATTGCAGGGAGGGCTGGACAGAAGGGGAAATAATGTGGTTCAGGGACTGTGAGACAGACTACATTGCAGGGAGGGCTGGACAGAAGGGGAAATAATGGTTCAGGGACTGTGAGACAGACTACATTGCAGGAGGGCTGGACAGAAGGGGAAATAATGTGGTTCAGGGACTGTGAGACAGACTACATTGCAGGGAGGGCTGGACAGAAGGGGAAATAATGTGGTTCAGGGACTGTGAGACAGACTACATTGCAGGGAGGGCTGGACAGAAGGGGAAATAATGTGGTTCAGGGACTGTGAGATGGACTAGAAGAATGTATTCCCTGTTGTATTAACATCAGTAAAAGTTCACAAATTGGAACTGAAAATTTTCACTTTTCATATTGATATATGGTTGATAATTTTGTTTGTAGCTGAATAATGAAAGATCAAGTGCACACTGATCAACTGATGATAATAATACATTGCTTCAAACATACATTGCGAGTGAGTGAATGAGTGACTTTGGGTTAATGCTGCTTTTAGCAATATTCCAGCAATATCACAGTGGGGACACCAGAAATGGGTTTTAACCTGGGTCTTCAGCATGACGAGCTAACACTTTAACCACTTGGCTACCCCACCACCCCTGTAGAAGTGACTTGTATTTTGGATAACAGGACCAATAGAAGTTTTAATTCTTAGTTTCATATTCAACATTTATTATATTTGAGATTACAATTTTTCAGGAAAGTACAGATTCAAGTACTTGTTGCGGTTAAGTCTAACCTAAACAGCTTTAATGAGAAAGTGTAATCTGAAATATAATGTATGTTGCATTTGACCAACTCCTTAAAGTCATAGTGTTTGCATACTTTTCTATTATTGCATTGATTTCAGTGTTAAAAAAGAATCATAATACCTGTGAAGTTAAGAAAACAATTCATTATCTTTAAACAAAATATATTCTTTCTTTCCAGCTTGCCTGCGAAAATATATTCAAAACAAGTCATTGACTACATCATTCTAAACTATTGCTAAGGTTGATCTTTCATGCCATGACAGATCAAGTATATTGACATGAAAGAAAAAAGTGTTCTTTACTTATTTTGAGTACTATAACCTCAGTAAATTATATGATGAAAGATACCTGTGAAGATCCGGTTTAGAATTGGTCTTCAGTAACCCATGCTTGTCGTAAGAGGCAATCGGGATCGGGTGGTCAGGCTCGCTGACTTGGTTGACACATGTCATCGTATCCCAATTCCAGACTTATGTTCATGCTGTTGATCACTGGATTGTCTGGTCCAAACTCGATTATTTACAGACTGCTGCCACATAGCTGGAATACTGCAGAGCGTGGCATTAAACAACGAAAAACAAAAACTTCATGAAGGAGCAAGAAGGAACACAAACTATGTTATCAGAAAAACAAACATGTTATCCATCTCCAGAATCAAAGACGATCCCACATGTTTTCTAGACATTCCAGACAAGATGTACCAAGAGGTGAAAGCCCACACAACGTTGTGCCACAACCTCCAGCACATCTACACACCAACACTGCCAGTGCTGAGTCGCCTCTCTGCTTACCTCACCAACTCCGATGAAACCCCGATGGTGCTGGTGTGTGACACGGAGGTCGACACACATGCCTTCACCTCCCACGTGGTGTCGCTGATCACAGACAAGAACACTGCAACTGTGGTCCGCTTCCTCGGACTGACCCCGGAGAGCAAGAGCATCGGAGCCATGGTGGCGGGAATGTGCAGGCAGATCGGACACCTCTACAGTCAACCCGTCTCATGTTTAGATCTGGTAAATATTGATGTAAATATTGATATTGATGTAAATATTGATATTGATGTTGGTATTGATATTGATGTTGGTATTGATATTGATGTAAATATTGATATTGATGTTGGTATTGATATTGATGTAAATATTGATATTGATGTTGGTATTGATATTGATGTAAATATTGATATTGATGTAAATATTGATATTGATGTTGGTATTGATATTGATGTAAATATTGATATTGATGTTGGTATCGATGTTGATGTAAATATTGATATTGATGTAAATATTGATATTGATGTAAATATTGATATTGATGTTGGTATTGATATTGATGTAAATATTGATATTGATGTTGGTATTGATATTGATGTTGATGTAAATATTGATATTGATGTAAATATTGATATTCATGTAAATATTGATGTTGATGTTGAAACATTCTGCATACAATGAAAAAAAATTATACAATGAAGGAAATATATTCAGTTTGGATATATTTGCTTTAAATCTTACGTCCAAAGCTCTCTTAGTTTGTAATATTACTATTCTAATTCTGAGTCCATATTACATGCAAAACCAGACAACCATGGTAGTGCTTGACCCAGATCAGATGAAAAAGATAGAGAACTTTAAAAGACACAAGCAAGGTTATACCTGAGTAAAAACAAAAAGCTATTGTTATGCATATTACTTCTGTTGGTGAGATATTACAGGTATGATATGATGGACTGAGATATTTTTTAAATTTAACAGACATTGATCAACACCCAGATTCACTCACATTCTGCACTAAAACATAAAAAGGTTTAATATAGACTCTTCAAACATAGATTAAAGCATTCAAGAATCATGGTTGTACTCATTAAATCAAGATCACTGAGCTTCAGAAATCTACATATCTATATTAGCTGTATATATATAAGCAATATTTCGTTTGATGATAGTTCGATTCCCCACATGGGCACAATGTGTGAAGCCCATTTCTGGTGTCCCCGCCATGATATTGCTGGAATATTGCTAAAAGCGGCGTAAAACTAAACTCAGTCAGTCATTTGATGATATACCTGTTGTGGATATAATGTTTTGAAGTGATTGAATTTTAGGGTTGTTTTCAACACTTTAATTAAAATACAAAATCAGTGGAAAGTTAAACAAGTTAAACTGCCAGGATAAGGAACAAATACCCCTTAAAACTGGATTTTACCTAACAATTACAGATGTTTATAGAATAGAAAGCTTGGAGTCCAAAACATGATGATTGTTTCATCACATCACAATCAAATAACCATTTGCTGATTGTTTGGGTTTTTATTGTTTCATTACATCACAATCAAATAACCATTTGCTGATTGTTTGGGTTTTTATTGTTTCATTACATCACAATCAAATAACCATTTGCTGATTGTTTGGGTTTTTATTGTTTCATTACATCACAATCAAATAACCATTTGCTGATTGTTTGGGTTTTTATTGTTTCATTACATCACAATCAAATAATCATTTGCTGATTGTTTGGGGTTTCATTACATCACAATCAAATTTTATTGTTTCATTACATCACAATCAAATAACCATTTGCTGATTGTTTGGGGTTTTATTGTTTCATTACATCACAATCAAATAACCTTTGCTGATTGTTTGGGGTTTTATTGTTTCATTACATACTAATCAAGCCATTCATCACAGATTCTGTTCAAAAAATCTGTGAAAAATTGATCTTACCCTTATGATAACATTTTAGTCATAAGAGGCGACTAACGGGATTGGGTGGTCAGGTTCGCTGACTGGGTTGACACATGTCATGGTATCCCAATTGCGTAGATCGGTGTTCATGCTGTTGATCACTGGATTGTCTGGACCAGACTCGATTATTTACAGACCGACGCCATATAGCTGGAATATTGCTGAGTGCGGCATAAAACTAAACTCACTCACTCACTCAATGAAGTAACTAAATAAAGCATAAAAATAGTCACTGACTGAATCATCTCATTTATCATACTGTGTCTAGTGACCACACATCAGAGTGAGTGAGTATGTTTTTACGCCACCTTTAGCAATATTCCAGCAATACCTCGGTTTGGAGAACCAAAAATTGACTTCACACATTGTACCCATGTGGGGATTCGAACGTGACAAGTGGATGCTTTAACCATCAGAATACCCCACCACATCAGCAAAATCCTATCTAAACTTATTGGGAACATTTGACAATTTCTTTTGTGATAAAGAAGCAATATATGCTTAAAAATAGTGTTTGCTTGATCGCCTCATGTGAATATTTAGTGGACTCAACAATTGCAATCCATGGATAGTTTGATGCATCGTTTCAGCCCTAACTTTATATTACTTTTATTGCGTCAATAACACTATCAGTTATGTGATTTTTAGTCTGTCTCACAGTCCCTGAACCACATTATTTTCCCTACTGCCAAGCCCTATCTGCAGTGCTAAAGCCCTAAATAAAGCAAGTCTAGATTTCCTCAGGTTCCTGAATCTCTAGTCTCCCTGGCTCCTTTTCAATTTAAATGGGCTTGTTTGTTACTATCAAAATTATATATATTCCGAGACTAAGCATTAGTCCATGTGATTTTCTTCAGCCTAATTTCCATGAGTTGATGCAGCATGCCAGCGAACAGCGCCCTCTCATCATAGTGCTAGGGGAGGTAACTGAGTCAGTGACTGACTGGGTGCCGGAACAGCTGCCTCCTCATGTCAAGGCTGTGGTCTTGACCTCCAACCATCAAGTGGTCCAGGAGATGAAACGCCAGGTGAGATTGTCTTCTGCTGAAGTGAAAGTACATACAAACATAAAGTTGCTTGGTTGTTTGATTGGTTGTTTGATTGGTTGTTTGATTGGTTGTTTAACGCCCCATAGCAATATTCCAGTTATATGGTGGCGGTCTGTAAATAATTGAGTCTGGACCAGGCAATCCAGTGATCAACATCATGAGCATTAAATCTACCTAATTACGATGACATGTGCCAACCAAGTCAGCGAGCCTGACCATCCGATCCTGTTAGTTGCCTCTTACTACAAGCATGGGTTACTGAAGAACAATTCTAACCCCGATTGTCACGGGTCCATACAGAAGTAAAAGTACATACATGCATCCATCGATCTACTCGTTATATGGCTGAAATAATGCCAATGATATGAAAAATCTTAGCTACCTCACTCCCATCAATCCATCCATTCATTCGCATGCATGCACACACACAAAGATCAAGTCTTGCCTCAAGTCAAGAAATATTTTTTGTAGGTCAATGAAATTTGGTAAGTTAAAGCTTAGTTTGGGGGATCAAAGCGAAAATGAGTTATTAAACCTGTCATCAGTTGTCATACATATAAACTGATGTACAAAAGAAAGTTCATTACTCCTGGTGTTTTGGTATTATTTTCCCCACTGATGATGTAAATATTTGAAAAGTATTTTGATTGTGTCGTACAAGTCACAAACATTGTGTACATGTTGCCAAAATATTTACGTTATTAAAATCAATGCCAGAGCAACAGGTGTGTACTTACTTTTGTACATCAGTATGACAAATGATGACAGTGCTTGAATAACAATTGTTACATTGAACTGTAGGCAGATAAAACAATATGTAGCAGGGCATGGACATTAACCCCATTTGTCATGTGGACAAGGCGTGAGTTTGGATCAAAAGGTTAGTTGGTCGAAAGACAGGACTGAGAAATGTTCAGTCTGCTACAAGTACACTAAAGGCATCAAAGATGTATGGACTTGTCAGTGCCTGTAGGAAGTTCATTCATTATGTAGTTCTGCCTGATTGAGGACTGAGAAAACACCCTGTCAGTTTGGAATTGAGGATAATTGTCCTGAGGTGCATATGACTTTGTTAGATAGCTAGTGGCTTATGACTTTCTGTATCTGTCCTTTCAGGAGAACCATCAACCACAACCAATGCCATACTCAAACATCACCTTGTCATTTGCCGTTGTCTTTTCTCACCAGTTTTGATCAAATATTAACGCTGAAGGGGTCGTTGTCGGCACAGGTACTACAGATACGTACATCAGGTACGTTTCTGTATACAGATATGTACCCTAAACAAAGTCAAAATACAGAAACGTACCGGTACCCTAAAAGCCAGACGAGTCCATATTCTGCAATCTAAAACCAAAACCGTATGTAGTTGTTCCCGTTCAACTGATTCCGAGTGGTATTCAAGTGCATCGCGAAATATCCATTACTGTGTATTCTCATTACTTACATAACGCAATCAAATGTATCTAATACTACAGTATGACAGTTCCAGTCAAGAATACGACACAATGGGAATGGAATCAGCCTAGGGTACGTTTCTGTATTCTCATTATGGCCAAGGTACATATCTGTAGTACCCGTGCTGACAACGACCCCTTCAGCAATATTAATAATATTCCAATGACTATTCTCTTCATTTAGATGCCAAGAGATTGTTTTGTTCAAGTGCCATCCTTGCCACCTGAAGCGTCTAGTGAGATGGTGAAGAAAATGACCAAGCTCTCCAGTAATGAAGATAGCACAATTCCTTCTGTGATACATGACCAATCTCATAAAGCAGTTGCCTCCCTTGGGGTGCAGCTATTCTGTGATTTGTCAAGCCTTTCTGTGATATCCAGCGATCAACCCACTGGCAATGAGTTATCGTTCAATCAACTGTTTCTGAAACTGGAGAGCATGTTCAGTCATATCATCGTGTCAAAACTAGTCTGTTTTCTCTTACTGACACAGTCAGGATTGTCAAGTTTTCATATCGCAGCTATTTTGTCCCAAGATGAAGAAATATTGAAAGCACTGAAGCTTACAGATCCGACAAAAGTTTTCCACACATTGTTTTTGATATGGTTAGAGGTGAAGACATTACTGCAGCCATTTTTACACATTTTTACCTTCAACGGTGTTTTGCTTCATGTTTTGTTTAGTACACCTTTACGTACATTGCTCATTCGAAGGTATTTAGCAGACAAAGGTGGAAAAGACGTCCATCAAATTCTTTGTGCTTTCTGTGAAAATGTCGTCTGTGATAATCAAGAGCAAGCTACAAAGCGTTTGTTCTTCTTGAAGAATTTTGAAATGTTGAAATATATGGAATACCCCTTCCAATATGCACAGTGCAGAAGGGAACACTTCAACAATAAGTTTATATTCAATATGAACTGGCTTAGGACAAAGATTGCAGCTACAAGCACGCTTTGTGTTTTGGGAGATATGGATGAACAACAGAAGATAAACCCAGAAGTCAAACTTCTCTACCAAGCCATTGCATTGTCCGCTGGGGCGCTAGATATCTGTCACTCTCAAATCTCCAGTCAGTTCCTGTCTAGATTATCAGAAATACTAGACCATTCCCAGCACACAAACATTGGGAAGCTGTTACATGGTATCCAGGCTGAGACAGATGTTCGTCTGGAGGCCATGTCTACATGTCTGCGACATCCCAACAGTCAGATCCCGGCACCTTTTTCAGACGATGAACTTTGTGGTTTGTATTGGGTGCCGGGTCATACTAATTTTATCATAAGTCTGTCTTGTAACTCAGGCGAGATAACCGTTTGGGATAGAAAAACTCATAAATTTGTTCGCAAGTTAGTAGGAGTCCATCGCCCCCAAGATTTGAAAATGGTTGATTCATTTCAAGCTGTGGTTCTGTGCAATCGTGAACTGTTAATATATGACCTTGATCAAGGATGTCTGGAAACAAAGTTTCGGGGAGTGCTGAACCTCAAGCAGCCAATGTTTGGTGTTCGGAATAATGAAAGCGTGATCACCTTGTCCAGAAACAGAATGTACATCAATGTCCTTGACATTGAGTCAGGCGACACTGTGGCGACATTCAAAGCTGGTGAGGATCGTTTTCTCAACAGCCTCCTTATCAGTAAGAATGGTAAGATTCTTGTGTGTGGTGATGAGACACAGAAACCGTCACCTCTGTTGGTGTGGGAGCTCCAGGAACGGCGTCTACTCCATGACCTGCGGATGGCCCAGCATCAGTTCATCACCAGCATCATGGACATCACAGACGATGGTCACTATGTTGTCTGTGTGTGTGAGGTAAGAAATGCTATTAAAATTCAGTGTTGGTAATTTTGTCATCTTAAGTCGTCTAGTGGATATTATTTTTGCCTGAAGAACAGATGGTCAATGCATCAAACACCTGGCCACCACTTTGGTCTTGTGGATATTACATCTGTATAGAGAGCGAAGGTCAGGGGTTTTGTCATGGGCCGCCTTTGTGATATAGTGGACAGAGTGTCTGCCCAGAGAGCAGACGGTCAGTGATTTTATTCCACTGGGTTCTTCCTGAGAGCAGAGTGAGGGAGTGAATTTGTTTTTATGGCGCTTTTAGCAATGTTCCAGCATTATCATGGCAGGGGACACCAGAAATGAGCTTCACACATTGTGCCCATCAGGGGAACTGAACCCGGGTCTTAGGCATGACGAACATGGTCTCAAGTCATTGTTATATGAAGTTAACACTGTCTACATGATAAAAACAAGTAAAAAGATTCATTTTGTTATTGTTTCACTGAATATACTAAATAATACATCAAATGCTGACTTGTATTTGTATTCGTTACCCAATCTTTGTGATACGCGTCATATTTGATTCATAGTTTATATGTTGCAGCCCAAGAGGTATATTCCAAATTGGGAATCTAGATTATATCATATAGATTATATGGTCTCTGGCAAAAAATAATAGAACAACCCATAGCTAAGCCTTGCTCCAAGACTGTAAACCAGTCTGTTATTTTGTATTCTTTTTAGAAATGTTTATTTAAATCATTGTTTATTACCTGAGAGGCTTGTGCAAGTCTACCCATAGCTCTGTGGAACAGCAAGTCAAAACCATTCATAAGGTGTTGCATGGAGGTATGTTAGCTAATGTTATAAATGACGTAACTATCTGTTGTGTCAGGAGTTGGAATCAACTGCCCCGAACTTCCTGGTGGTGTATGATCTGGTCACTGGTCAAGTCTTCAAGATCTGGAAATGGGAACACAGCTGCACATGTCTGGCCGTTGTCTCGGCAACCAAGTCAGTGGTCAGCATGCTGGACACTGGGGATGTATTGGTGTGGGACCTGGAGTCAGGGAGCGTCAGGTCAGTTGCCTTGCAACCACACAACACCCGTGAAGATCTGGGTTAGAATTGGTCTTCAGCAACCCATGCTTGTCGTAAAAGGCGAACCTGTGAAGATCTGGGTTAGAATTGGTCTTCAGCAACCCATACTTGTCGAAAGAGGCAAACCTGTGAAGATCTGGGTTAGAATTGGTCTTCAGCAACCCATGCTTGTCGAAAGAGGCAAACCTGTGAAGATCTGGGTTAGAATTGGTCTTCAGCAACCCATGCTTGTTGAAAGAGGCAAACCTGTGCAGATCTGGGTTAGAATTGGTCTTCAGAAACCCATGCTTGTCGAAAGAGGCAAACCTGTGAAGATCCGGGTTAGAATTGGTCTTCAGCAACCCATGCTTATCGTAAGAGGCGAACCCATGAAGATCTAGATCGTAAGAGGCGACTAATGGGATCAAGTGGTCACACTCGCTGACTTGGTTGACACATGTCATCCCAATTGCTTAGATCGATGCTCTTGATGTTGATTACTGGATTGTCTGGTCCAGACTCGATTATTTACAGTCCGCCTCCATATAGCTGGAATATTGCTGAGAGTGGCATTAAACAAGAACCAAACCAAACCAAACCAAAATATAGAGGTTGACATCCACAAATTCTTGCCTTTAGGGACCAGTCATTTATTAAGGTGGGGGTCAGCATCAGGGGAATTATGAAGGCGTAAGACTATACTCTGAAATGTGATGTTCCTCAAAATAAAGAAGTTGACATCCATAGATTCTTGCCCTTATGTGTAAGATTCACTTCTAAATGCCGATGAGATTCATGTGCACACTGTTCATTTGAACTTGACAATAGAGTGGCGTTGTGAATGCGACAAAACGATAGATTTGGTACTTTACTCACTCACTCACTCACTCACTCACTCTGACGCAGGTTTCAAATGAAGGGGGTGAATGCAGTCTGTAACAACATAATCTTGGCGTCTCAGTGCCACATGTGTGTCACGTGGTACAAAGGGGAGAGCATCCTGCCTAATGCCAGGACAATCTGTGTATGGGATCTGGAGAAAGGTTGGTGGACTGACTCACAGCACTGCAATATTTGAACCGTCACAGTTTACTATGTGCATGAAAATAGAGCATGGAAACAACTTCTATCCACTGCAAATCCAATCTTTTTCCCTCTTTTGGGGATATAATCTTTTATGATTCCCAATCTTTTTCTCCCTTTTGGGGGGTAAAATCTTCTAGGATTCCCAATCTTTTCCCCTTTTGGAGGTCAGTTCATGAGATCCTTTTTACAAATTGTCTAACCTAAGTCTAACCTAAGCAGAATAAATTCAGAAGCAGCTAATAACATAAATCAATTTCTTGCAGGTTGTATGGAGGCTGTTGTCTGACACTAGTATATAAAACCAACGTGTAATCGAGTTCTCCTCCTATTTACCTCCTCTATATTTTGACTCCATCATCTTAGGTCTTCCAGACGAGGCAGAACGACATCCTCACCTTCAGTTTGACATCTGTGGAATCTGACATAAATCATCAGAGTCAGGGAGGATGGATGAGGTAAAACCAACGTGTACGGAGATCCCTACCAACAGGCAGAACGCCATCATTCAGGTGTGAGTCAGGGAGGATGAGGTGCTACGGAGACCCTACCAACAACAGCGCCATCATTCAGGTGTGACGTGACATCTGCCACAAACTAACGGACCATTTTCGTCCTTTGTGTCTCAGGAATCATGGAAACTTTGTGATAGAGAAGTTATACAAACATACAAGGGTCCACGTGCACAAAGCGATCTTAGTGCTACGACCATCTTAAAGTTATGTGACAGTATGCGAGTTACAGTCATCGTAGAGCTAAGATCGCTACCAGGTCTAATTTTAACGCATAGTAATGTACGTTTAAAATGAAGATGCTTATTACAAAATGACCGATATAACAAACTGGGCTGTCCTGGACAAACTACAGTCATAACAAACTAAAATGAGTGGTCCCTTTTAGTTTCTTATACTAGTAGTTTTTCTGTACTGAGGATGAAGAACCAGAGGCCCACAAAGTTATTGTAGTTCTACAGTTTAAGTCTGTGTAATAGGAGTTATGACAGCGCTACGATTACCTTGTCAAACAGGGCTCTTTGGCTAGTTCTAACAATGACATTCTTCCAAGAAGCCATGAAGGGCTGTGTAGGGAGGTCACAGCAGAAGGCTCCAGTTCACTTAAGTGCTATAAGTCCTTGAACGTCTCTTTCTGATTTGAGACGTTTTAATACATGAAGATAGTACAACATACAACTACCTCTTATGATTTCATGCAGCATCTGACCCGTGAAGGTCCGGGTTATAATATTGGCCTTCAGTAACCAACGCTTGTCTTAAGAGGCGACTAACAGGATCGGGTGGTCAGGCTCGCTGACTTGGTTGACACATGTCATCGGTTCCCAATTGCGCAGATCGATGTTCATGCTGTTGATCACTGGATTGTCTGGTCCAGACTCGATTATTTACAGACCGCCACCATATAGCTGGAATATTGCTGAGTGCGGCGTAAAACTAAACTCACTCAGTCACTCATGCAGCATCTAACATGTTTCTCTCGTCACACCAAAGACCTGGGTTTGATTCCCCACATGGGTACAATGTGTGAAGCCCATGTCTTGCGTGCTGGAAAATTGTTAAAAGCGGCATAAAACTAAACTCACTCACTGTAACATGTATTACCGAGTCATAATCGCTTGAACGTAACTGTCATGACAACATTTCCCTAAGTAAGGAATATCTTTGTTTTTACAGTATCATTGGTCCAGATTTGTTTTGCATACAATCAATGTCCTAAATAACTGAAAGTAGGACTGACAAAATACCCTTGACATCTCTTACTGTATAACTGCATATTTGTAAGACAAAGAAATTGCTGTGAATTGTTTCAAGAGACTGTTTTAATGGAGCAGACTTTAGGAACAGTGTGAGATGAGGGTTGCAAGGCAGATTTATATTTTTCTGGGAAAATTACTGAACAGTGAAAAAATATTTGTAGAACAAGTAATTAAGTTAGTTTTTCCTTGATCTTAGTACAGTAACCTTAAGAAAAATGGAAGATTGTGCTGTCTGGAGGACAGTGTAGAGGATGGAATGAATGATATTCCATTATGAAAGTTATGGCTCAAATCCTGTGTTATTTGAAAATAAATAAATTCTATTCTTCTCAAAATCATCATATGACATTTATATTCATGTTTATATCTAGTTATAACAAGGTTATAAAGATCTCATTCAACAGGTCTATGTTCCTTATGTGTATCTTGGGACCGTAAAATGATTCTTCTTTTGACTTTCTATCAAAAGAATGTCATTTTTGTTTCCAAATCAGTGTCATAAATATTGAATGAATGATGTTTAACACCTATTTAGCAACCCATCTTTATATACACAGTAGCCATAGTGACCATTCATTCCACACAGTAGCAATTGTGACCTATAACCCAACCAATAGCCATTGTGGCCAACCAATCCACACAGTATCCATTGTGACCAATCAATCCACTCAGTAACAATTGTGATTAATCAATCCACTCAGTAGCCATTGTGACCATTCAATTCACTCAGTAAACATTGTGATTAATCAATCCACTCAGTAGCCATTGTGACCAATCAGTTCAGTCAGTAACCATTGTGATTAATCAATCCACTCAGTAGCCATTGTGACCAATCAATCCACTCAGTAGCCATTGTGACCAATCAATCCACTCAGTAGCCATTGTGACCAATCAATTCACTCAGTAACCATTGTGATTAATCAATCCACTCAGTAGCCATTGTGACCAATCAATCCACTCAGTAGCCATTGTGACCAATCAATCCACTCAGTAGCCATTGTAATCAATCAATCCACTCAGGTGCTGTTGCCATCAATCAGTCCAGCCAGTAGCCATTGTGACCAACCAATCCACCCAGTAGCCATTGTAATCAATCCATCCACTCATCAAGAACAATAAGGCTGTTAGAAAATGTACACAATCTTCCAACCAAGATATATCCTCTTAAGCACAAGGAATGAAAGATTGTCTGTTACAATTCAAACTGATTCTATATGAACAAAGCCTCGGCAAACAGAATCTATTTTATGGAACAGTTCAACAGGAACTATTAAAATCTTTCTGAATCACCTTCAGAAATCATTCTAAAATCAACAGTTAACATATATTAGAAGATGGGGATAGACTTAACATGCAACAGAACAGTGATGAATGCAAAAAAATTCAGCAACAATTTGGTCGTCATGTTATTAATTTGCTGAAAAAATATCAGGAACCCCCCATTGGCTCTTCAATCTGGATCCGCCAATGAATAGCACCATCACTTTGAAAGATTGTCAACCGTTATCCTCCACTTTATAACCTAATCTTACACAAAAATAAGATGAAAATGACTTTTCATCATGTTCTTTCTTTGAAACAATATCTAAATATGTTCCATTCTGTAGTGTTAGTTAAGCCACCAATTTATTGTGCACAATTATCCTGAAAGTTTTGTTTCTTTTGGAAGTTGTTACTTTCAAAGTAATAAATAGTGCTTTTCAGATTTTTATTTTTCCACTTACTGCAAATCAATGTCTGTCAATATTTTTCTTTACACCGTGAAATTATCAAACTGTAGACTCAAAAGATGTTCATTATAAATGAGACTTAATTTTGGTAATACAAAGATCCAATGCAGAGGACTAATAACATCCACAAATTATTGTCCAAGGCTGAAAAATAGTGTTAGTTCTCAGGCAATTTCCACTTGACAGTGCTCACAAGCACCATTTTCCTGTCTTAACACCAAGAATGTTCTGAAAGAGCTGACATATTTTGCTCTACAGAAATTTATATTATCTCACTCTCAACTTTCATAAAAGCGGACTCGTCCGCCGAAGACCGAGTTTTACCTGAGAAAAATGGATTTTGTTCAGCCTTATACCTGAGAAAATAATTATGAAATGATAAATTTGTTTGGAAGTCATGTTTGATAATGGTGTCTTAGGGCCTTGTTTTTTTAATAGATGGTTTTCCGAAATTATTTACTTAAAATCCAAGTAGATGGTTGTAAAAATATGTGAATAAATTCCATTGGGATTAGGACTGCTACTACTGTAGGTATGACCTCCATGGAGGTAGGTATGCAAATGATACCAAAGGATAATTGATTGTTTGGGTGTTCCTTAAAAATATTACACATATTCATAAACAGAAGCAATAAAATACCTTGCTTTTTTCATTAACTATTGTCAGTGATCACACCAAACAAAAAAAGGAAATTTAAAGTAATCACACATGCTACAGTTGTGTTTATTCTCTGGTGTCATAAACCGCCTATAAAAATATAAGGCCTGAGGATCCTGTTTTGAAGGAGGAGTAGGTAAACGTCTCATCTAATTTGTCATTAGGCTGATTTGTTGTGCAACATCTTGCTCTGCTCTCTCCCTCTTGCACCGAACTATTCAAAGTCCTCTGTACCATATATTTCTGTTACATTTAATGAATAAACATGTGAGTTTACAAACAGCCTTTGTTCATCTTCTTATTGAATCTCCATTTATGGAGGTGGCTTTATTCACTATGCATCCATAAGGCATGCCAGAAACCAGTGGTCTTGGGTTTAAATTCAAGATTCACTGTGAACGACAGGGTAGGTTGGTTTGTTGTTTAATGCTGCACTCAGCAATATTACAGCTATATGGTGGCAGTCTGTAAATACTCGAGCATGGGCCAGACAATCCAGTGATCAACAACAAGAGCATCGATCTACGCAATTGGGATACAATGACATGGGTCAACCAAGTCAGCGAGCCTGACCACCGGACCCAGACATGTTGGTATAGCTGCTTGATAACGGTGTTAGCAGCTACACTGAAACATCACTCACATTAATAACATAAAAGTTGTATAATCGTAGAACTCTCCCTGTTGTTCATCACACCAACTTCTAAATGCCACTCAAAGAAACAAGATTCACAGTGGTAACATTTTTCTGTTTCTAAGCACTATTCCAGTGCTCGTGATTTGAACCAATGTGGTTGAAAGATTTCAGTTCTCCAACATCCACTATGGCATTCCATGATGACTGAATTAAATATGAAAGCAACATGAACCTGTCTCTCACTCTTTGACAGCAATTTAGACTGAAGAAAGAAAGTAAATATCCAGCGCCTTTGAGCAGCTGAGCTGAGCTGGATATCGGGGCTATACAAATGTTAGTATGTATGTATGTATGTATGTTTGATGGTGGCTAAAAATGGCTGTACAATGCTGATGTATGTGGCACTGTCTTCATTGTACCCATGAGGATCCGGATTAGAATTGTCTTCAGCAACCCATGCTTGTTGTAAGAGGCGACTAACAGGATCGGGTGGTCAGGCTCGCTGACTTGGTTGACACATCACATCCCAGTGGTGTGGATCGATGCTTGTGATGTTGATCACCAGATTGTCTGGCCCACACTAGATTATTTACAGACCGCCACCATATAGCTGGAATATTGCCGAGTGCGGCATTAAACAATACACACACACTGTCTTCATTGTCTTTTGAAGCTAAAGTACTTTTTGCATATGTTTAACAGTGTCATCAAATGTTTATAGATGTTCATGCAAATAGATGTATCACCTGTCTCAAAGCATCCATCATCCCAATCAAAACCAACTATCTGCTGACACTGTCAAGTTTTTGATGGAGTCAGTTGATGGAGATGGTGGATTTTAGGAGTGCTTCTGAGTGATGGTGACAGAAGTTGGGTAAAATCTCATATTTGTCACCATCAGTGCCAGTGTTTTGGGGATTCATCAGGAATGGTCTGGACCAAGCTGTGAACTAATATTTTTATCAGTCAAATCATTCGTCAAGAATATACTTTCGAGATATTGTTATTGGGTAGGTAAAAAGAGGACCTAGGATGTTTACCAGGTTTTGTATGATGTGTCTAAGGAATGTATCAGCCTACAGATAAGCATTTTTGTTTTTGTTATCTCTTGATAATAGTTATTTTTTAACTTTATTATACACCGCCACAAAGTGGGAGGGGGGAAAGGTGTGAGCACCATCTGACCGAGATGATGGGGACAGATTTTCTCAAAAATCATTATAGATAGGGAAACCAGGCCCCGATTTCTCGAAACAAACTTAAGTGTTTACTCAAATATCAAACTGAGTTTGACAATTTGAAACAGCTGAATTGTCTACTAAGTTTGAGTTTAATATTGATTTCAGTTTATTCTGGGAAATGCATTTTCCTGCGTTTTCTCAAATTTGAGTAAAAACTCAGACTTAAGTCATAACTCAGACTTAAGTTTGTTTCGAGAAATCGGGGCCAGATTTGGTATGTTTTCAGGACATGAATGCCTTGGAGTTAAAAAACGAAAATCATGTTACAATTTGTTACAGAGTTATGACAGGGTTTTACACAGTTTTAAAAATGGGAGTCGTGGTGACTCACAATATTTATTTTTGGGAGTCATTTTCAATATTTCTGAGTCATGTAAATTTAATATTTCTTTGTGTTTATCATTCTCAGTATGTAACTGTGTATGTCACACCACCAAATGAAACTACAGCATTGTTCAGTTCAAACAGCCAGGATTACTGTCTCCTCTGAATTCTCTGGAACAATCTGACAGCTCTGTAAAAGTCAAACTATCATCGAACAAAATCATTATTAGCTTATCAAATCGATTTTATTGAACTGAATTGTGAGGGCCACCTATAAAACTTGCGTCAAGATTGATTTGTATGACAGTTTTTTGAAAGTCGTTAACCTGTAAAACCCTGAGTTATGGCCCTTGTCATGTGTTTGACTGATTACATTATCCCTAATAGGAACAGTGAGTGAGTGAGTGAGTTGGGTTTTACGCCACTTTTAGCAATGTTACAGCAATATCACGCGGGGACATCAGAAATGAGTCACACATTGTACCCAAATCGAACCTGAGTTATGGCCCTTGTCATGCGTTTAACCACTAGATTACATTATCCCCGAATAGGAACAAATTTTCTCAGTAACCGTTACAGATAGGGAAACCAAATGTGTTTAAAAACAGGAAACCAAATAGGAACAGAATACTGTGGCAGGGGATATTGATGACCATGCCTTGTTGTTTTCAACATTTGTTGGCAGATACATAATCCAAGTGAGTGTACAAACTGTCATTGTGCCAGTTTCTAAATGACATGTATATTGAATAATTTGTCATTATGCTAGTGGCTAGAGGGCATGCACAAAGTGTCACTGGTTAAAGGCTCATTTTCACTCCTTTCAATTAGATCTTCAAATTCCATCAACAACCACTTGGCCAAAACTCTAGAACACTGATCAAAATCAAATACTGCATCTGAAATGAAACTTTATGAGATTATTTTAAGTCCAAAACTATCTGTTAAAATCCACACAAGTTAAATTTAAAATAATTTTTAATGTCTTGATATTAGAAACAAAACGATCAATAGTCATTCAGATACCTGCAGATAACATATTATGTTTCCGTACACTGAGCAGACCTTGAAAAATATAACAGTGAATGACACAGACTTACTCTCAAATGTTCATGGACAGATTTGTTGAGGTAAAATTGGGTTAAATAACACGCAAGAATATTTTGCTCATATGTCGATGTGCATGTGTGGCTGCTCGTACTAGCCCAGAATTAAGCTGGATTTATAGTGATAGCTCACTGAGATACCATGCAGTTAAGCATGAATACCCTACTCAGACACATAACTCAACCATACATCGTTTCACCCATTAATGCCAAGCAGGGAACAAGTACCATGGTTTTAACGTCTTTTGGTATGACATGGACGGGGATCTAACCCACGACCTTCCGCTCTCCAGGTGGACGCTCTAACCACTACGCCACGGAGTGTGTCGTATGTAAGAATATTCTACTTGTGCATGCAAGTGTATGTGGCTGCTTGAATAGTTTCATACTTTTGCCCGTTTGATAGTGTTGGCATACCATATACCAAGGCAAACATTGATACCCAACTGGCATCGTTGCTGCTGGGAATCTATTGCATACAACGAGTCTAACCTCAGGATAATGGCGAACGAGGTGAGGTTAAATTAGGTTTAACGGCACGCTTGAGAATATTTTGCTCATATGACGACGTTCATGCGTGTGTATGTGTTGGTACGACTGCTTGTACTAGCCCAGACTGAAGCTGGTTTTATAGTGCTAGCCCACTGAGATACCATGCCGCAGTGAATCATGATTACCGCACACATTATACTGATTCCGGGCCAACCAGTCCTTGTAACCATTAATGCCAGGCGCCAGGCAGGGACCAACAAGTACCATATTTTAACGTCTTTTGGTATGACGCGGTTGGGGATCGAACCCACGACCTTCCGCTCTCACCACTACACCACGGAGGCGGTCAATGGCGAATGAAAGTTGGTTTCAACAGAACATGTCAGTTATAATACCATGTTGGGTTAAACATTGCTTGAAACCGTATTCCAGTCATAGTGATGAGTCAGCATACACTGGGAGGAAATACCCGAATCAAACAGGTCTTGGACATACAATTTTTGCAAAACCCGTGGTAGTGTTTACACTTAGAAAATATGACAGAATCCAAATGTTGGTGCACGCGACATAGAACTCTGAAGAGCACCATCCACCGCCTAAGGCTATGACTGGGCTTCTTGTTCAGCCACACTACACTGATGAGAGTGAGTTTAGTTTTACGCTATATGGCGGCGGTCTGGAAATAATGAAGTCTGGACCAGACAATCCAGTGATCAACAGCATGATCATACTAATAATAACTGACTGAGTTGGGTTTACGCCGCTTTTAGCAATATTCCAGCAACATCACGGCGGGGAACATCAGAAATGGGCTTCACACATTTGCCCATGTGGGGATTCGAACCCATGTCTTCGGCGTGACGAGCCAACGCTTTAACCACTAGGCTACCCCACCGCCCCTACTAATAATAAAGACAATAAGATGGATTAGTGAAAGTAAAATTTTATTTTACCTTTTTTTATTCATATGAAACAAATATAATAAATAAATCCCTTTTTTGACCATTTGGCATTATCTGAATGTACAACATCTAAAATACAAAACTTTGTAGTGTAAATTACAATATTCTGCTAAAAACATGTCGCCCATCTGGAATAGTTCGATTAACATTTGCACAATGCTCAGCCCAACTGCATATGCATTCAGCAGCAACTTGAAAGACTTTGTTGAAAGACGCTTTCTGTGTAGCAGTGCACAGACACGCGCTCACACACACCACATTCAACACTACACAAGACGGGCCTGGAGCTGTCGCTACTCCTGAAGCTTCTATGCTAAGATTAGTACAGAGCAGTATGTGCTATTGCAGCACTGGAAATGAACAAATATGGTCAAACGTTATTGGAACAATGTAACCATATTTATTTGCTAAAATCAGTTGGATGTAATGAGACATCTTCACAGATCTTGGAGAAGACTTAATGAATGAGAATAGCTAAATATAATTAACACATGCACCCAAGATGTTTACCACTTTCTGCTACGAAAATATAGTTTGGTCTCCATATCCAATAGGAACAAAATGGCCTATATACCATGAACATTACTGTTGTGCTGGGGTACATAAACTTCCGATTCATTTTTGGACATACACAAGGTGAGGCAAATGACCTGCTCTGGTGGGGGTCCTACATAAAATAAAAAGTTGACTTAGTTTTGTCCATGGAGGGAGGGTAAACAAGCAAGGGGGGCAGGTTCCCATATATCATGCCCTAAATTAGCTCAAGTTCTGCTCGATTCATACAGATGGCACCTTTAGATAAGGCACTTACTGAAAAATCGAAATGTCTAAATACAGTTGAGATGGACCAACTTTTAAGATTTTTTCGTTTACAGGCTATAGTATCTACCAAGTGCTTCCTCTATCTTCAGCTCTGAAATGCCAGTTATAGATATAGGTCAAACTAGCACTGTTCAGGAAAGAGCTTCTAACGAGGTATTGAAAGTGAAACATAAGGTAAATAAGAAGTATAAAGTAAGATTGATTCTGATCCTAATGCTTGGTCAGTCGTACATTCCGAGACAAACGCAACCTTCCTGGGTTGTTTGGTTCAGGAAGTTACATTTTCTAGTTAACTTCTTTGTCCGTCTCATAAGGTAATAGAATAATTTGTGAATTCTACAAAGCATGTTTCACATGTATCTACTCTTTCAGGTCAATAAGCAGTTTTCTGTTCAGAAAATTCACACTAATATTCAGACTATTTGGACCGAGTATAAAGGCTAATCGTCTTACTCCTTTGTATGCAGTGCTGAGAATTTGACAAATGTGGTCTGGTTAATGAATAAAAAATACAAAACAATAATGGAATTGATGTGGTTTACATTTTGTATCTATTATAGTTACTTGAAAAAATGAATGACTGCATAAATAGCTAAGAAAGCTTCTGCCTGAGTATAACATACCATGAACACATTCCCAGTGTTTAAAGGCAATCTTAAACATGTCGGGCAATTCAAACCACTTTTTCCATGCTATGCACAACTATCTTACAAGATGCCATGAAACATCTATGTCAATATATCCACACTTTCCCGATACTTTTGCTTTTTGATTGCCTGATAATCAGACGATAATGACTCGGTATGAAGAGAGCGTGTAATGCAGATGTCAACTCGAGACACCTGTCAGCAGCGATGTCAAACCTGAGGTACTGTTAGTCTAGATGGGACTTCAATAATCGCAAACTAATAACTACATCCTAGTCGCTTGGAAACTAAATCACTACGTTGGGAGTATCATCACCCATCCTTACTGTAAAGTGCATCACTCAGAAACTTGAAGCAAAACTTGTCAATAATATCACTGGCAAAATACTGTAATCTTCAGATCAACTATAACATTAACACTGTCAATATATTATTGGTACAATTACAAAGCAAAGAAAGACTGTAGTGTCGCTTTGGTAACAGATATTCACAAGAATACAAGGTGATTGTCCAACTTGACTTACATACTGAATTCTTTCTATTACTTCAAAACACATTTAACAGTGGACAAGCATTCTTAAACTCTGATTCACTCAATTTGAAAACCAACTACAGCTCTTACAAAAACATTCACAGTAAGAAAACAATCAGTGCAATCAACGGTTAATACATTGATTATGCCCAAGCAAATATTGATTTTCAACTCCAATCTTCATAGTGTAGTAACACAGATTCTTAAATTACAGTAAAATATTTCATTCATAAACTAGTTTGTCAATGGTGAAGATAGTAAGAAAACAGCGTATTGAACATCTTAGTGTAAAGGTAACATATGTAGGGATTACAAGGTGTAATAGAGGGAGCCAGCAAGGCTAAATTTACTCATTGGTGACAACAGATACTCATTTGAATCACCATATTGTGCAGCTAGCCACCAGATATGTGCAGCGCTGTAACATATCCCGTGCATCATCATGTAAATACTTCATCATCACAGACAGTTGGATGTAAATTTACATTTGTACAGAGTGGAGAGGTCTGTTTCACAGTTGCCTCCCTTGAGTGTTTTGGTTCCCCGCCATTTGTTGTCCACCTGAGACGTAGTTACCCCATTGAGTGTTTGAGCACCATGGTGACGTGATCACAGCAGGTTAAACAGGCACCTGCAAAGGAAAGATTTTCCTTTAAAATCACCTTTCATCAAGATGTTTCATCAGCAATTTGGTTCAATGGTGGCAGAGAACAGAAGAGAGAGCAAAAGAGCGAGACTGACGGACAGTCCACTGAGCGGTTGCCCTAACCCTCAGGTGAACCTACTTACATAATCATGCAACTAAAGTGAAAAGGTTATTACTTTGGGAATAAATGCAAAAATCAGTATTTATCTTCTTAGCCAGCTATATCACGGCAGCGCGCAATAAATTTTTTTAGCTAGTCTAAATGTCATCGTTCCCATCTCAGCAAAAATGTTCAGTATTTCACACTAAATGGATTAGATAAATGTGAAAATATTTCTTGCTAAATATCTCCCTTTTTAATTTGCATAGAGTCTTTTGGACACATTTCATTGGAGATGTTGTATACACGCTCTTTGTACATATTACAGGTGTGATATTTATAAAACTAAAACATTCTTCAAAATAGAACAAATCAAACCTGGGTAAGGCAAGATTAACAATGTTTGCAAATATTGATACAATCTAACCAGCCCCATCCAATAAATTGTTTTAGTTAGTTCATGAGAAAGGACGTCACATAGAGAACGTGGGACCTATTCTGCCCCAGAATACAACCAAGTACTCATCAGCAAAGTCAAGACCATCCTCATAATGACTATCCACTTATTTACGATCTACTTTATATGAATCCCCTAGTATGGTGTAATGCTTAGCAGGTGACTGTCGGCATCACTCACTGTGTCATGCGGGGAGGAGATGGTAGTCTCGGGATGCTGCGAGACGAAGAAGCGAACATCCCTGTCGGTATCGGCCTGCAGCTTCTGCAAGGTTGCTATCAGCTCTTCATGCTGAGGGTTCTGTTGCGACGTGAAATATTCTGCAAAGAAAATGGACTCAGTGTGGTGAGGTGAAATTGGGTTTAACGTCGTGCTTGAGAATATTTCGCTCATATGACCATGTGCATGCGTGTGTATGTGTATGTGTGACTGCTTGTACTAGCCCAGACTGAAGCTGATTTATAGTGCTAGCCCACTGAGATACCATGCCGCAGTGAAGCATGATTACCCCACTCAGACACATTATTATGACTCCGAGCCAACCTGACCTTGTTGTAACCATTAATTCCGAGCGCAAGGCAGAGACCAACAAGTACCATATTTTAACGTCTCTTGGTATGAACAGGTCGGGGATCAAACCTGTGACCTTCCGCTCTCCGGGCAGTCGCTCTAACCACTACACCACAGAGGCAGTATGGACTCAGCGTTAAAATTACCTGGGTTTGACTGACTGACTGAGTGAGTTTGGTTTTATGCCGCTTTTAGCAATATTCCAGCAACATCACGGCGGGAGACACCAGAAATGGGCTTCACACATTGTACCCATGTGGGGATTCGAACCCGGGTCTTCGGCGTGACGAGACAACGCTTTAACCATTAGGCTACCCCACCGCCCCACTTGGGTTTGAAATGATGTGATAGCACAAATAGTCAAGCCTTCAAGAAGATGGCATCCACCTAACAGAGTCAGTAGGACCATGACAATAAGTATTGGACCTATATCTATGGGCAATTTCCACAGGCTGTCAAAAGGATGTATGTACTGATGTATTGTTAACCTTATAAAGAACTTTCAAAGAAAACCTGAAGAGCTTAACGAGGATCCTTGGTGCTGGAAAGTTCATCTGATGAATCTGAAGACAATTATCTAATCAATTTCTATAAATGTTTTTGAAGACAGGGAAACTGGCTGCCTAACTCTTTCTTACCTAAAGGCACAATGCATTGTGCTAGGACTTTAGCCATGGACAGGCGGCGTACATTGGGTATTGCATCTACTCCCAGACTTAAAAGGCTTGGAAGAAGTTCCTCAGCAAACATCATAGGAGGTAGTGAATTCTCTTCCAGGATCACATGGCAGATTTGGGCAAAACTGCAAAGTAAAAGTTAACAATGAACTGATGGTTTGTTTATTGTCTAGATCTTACTCCTCAGCAATATTCCAGTCATATGATGGTAAATAATCTTGACAAGACAGTGATTAAAATGATCCTGATCCATGCCATCAGGGTACGCAATCAAGTCAGATTATGGCGACAAATTCCAACAAGTCGCATCTTAAAACCAACATAGGTTGCTGGAGCACCTTTTTTAAAACACAGAACGTTGGTAAACTGAGCAAGTAAGTACAAAGCATCAAAACATCTTATTAAAACAGTTCAAAGTTGTTCATGAATCAATTATTTACTGTTCACTACACATACACTGAAGCACAGCAGGGTTTTACACAGCCTTTTAAAAATGGGAGTCATGGTGACTCACAATATTTATTTTTTGGGAGACATTTTCAATATTTAGGAGTCATGAAAAGTTTAATATTTCTTTGTGTTAATCATTTTCAGTATGTAAATATATGTCACACCACCAAATGAAACTTACAGCATTGTTCAATTCAAACAACTAGGAATACTGTCTCCTCTAAGTTCTCTGGAACAATCTGACAGTATCATTTTTTCGCTTATCAAATCGATTTTATTGAACTGAGTTGTGAGGGTCACCCATAAAACTTGCGTCAAGCTTGACTCGTATGATAATATTTGGAGAGTCGTTTACAAAATTGTTGCGTCGAATACGCAGGAATCACACGTCATGTAAAACCCTGGCACTGTACTGTTCACAATCAAAGCTACCCTTTGTTGGAACAGTCATTTTTAAAAGTGAACGATTAAATAATATATATTTCAAGACCATGTTAAATCAAAGATTGAGCCTATCCTAACTGACAGGAGTGCGGACTCACATTTGTCTCCCGATCCAGCGGGCACTCAAGGCAAATTTGTCAATAACTTCGCACACCAGTGCCCTAAGAAGGTTCTCTTCATTTTCCTCGAACATCCTATGTAGAATTATGCTCAGCTGAAAGAAACAAATTGAATTTAATTGACTTGGTGGGTATAATGTGTAAATCCATTTCTGGTGTCCATGTCATGATATTGCTATAAGTGGTGTAAATATAAATCACTACATGGCTCTTTCTTCCAAATGCTGCACTCAGCAGCAACATTCCAGCTATATGATGGTGGCTCGTAAATAACCGACTCCGGACTAGACTATCTAGCCTTACACACATCGCGAAACAGTTGGAGTACGTGAGCGAGTTTAGTTTTACTGAATACCAGACTCAAGCAATATTTCAGCTGTATTACAAATTGCCTGCTCATCATAAGCATGTCTGAAAGCCAGTGGCTCACATGAGCAATGTTCCTGCCATAATGGCAATGAAAAGGACTTTTTCTATCAATGACAATCCTTTGATTTTATGTCCTCAAGAAGGACCTGAACTGTGGATCAGACAGCCAGGCATCAAGCATTGCCTGTTACTTACCAGCCTGTAGGCCATGTGTCTGACCTCTGAGACCTTGTCAGAAGCTAAGGCAAGCGACATGGGTACGATGTACTGGCGGATGTCTTGCGGACTGTACAGCTCACAAAGGAGAACCAGCTGGCTGGAAACACAAACACATTTGCAACAACTCATTTTAACAAGCATAGATGCCTACTTTCCCAAATTACAATTTGTACTCTTAATGGTTGGTTCACCAAACCCTGATGAAAGTCTACAAAATACAGTCAAATCCCGATGAGTGGAATGCCGGTGTCTCGAATATTATGCATAACTCAAATTACCTGTCGGTCCCGACCATTCCCTGTTATAGTTGTCATCATTTGAATACCGGTTACACGAATTCGTCTCATAAATACACACGATGACTCGAAAAGGAAATTTGGTCCCATGAGATTCAAACAACAGCAATCTTGTATACATAAGCCAAAGTCAGTCAATGAGAAGTTGATTGGTGTAGCAAACTGATCCAATTAACAAACCAGCGCGGCTCACACCTTTCCGCCATTGACTGGTGAGTTCAAAAGGCAGATTAGTAATTTACGGAAATCACTGTCTGTGCTAATCAGACTGGAACTGATAAGGTGCCCCTATTAGTGATATGGAAATCATTAGATAAAATGCTTAGGCAGAGGAATTTTTTTCTACCCTAATATGCATACCTATGTCTCGAATACATGGATAAGTCGAATTTATTACTTGGTCCCCAGCGATTCGACTCATCTGGATTTGACTGTAAATGCATTACTGTGGAAGACAATTGATAATCTTATCTGTGATTCTTAGTCGAAAGTGGGTTGAATGGTTTAACTGGACATATGAAACAGTAACAAACAAGGCGAGCTTGCATATTTAGTTTATTCAGACCCCCCAAAAAGAACCTCTTTATCTGTATGAACATTAAGTCCTTGACATACTTTCAACATTATTCCTGTCAAACAAAGTCATGTTATTCACCACCAAGTTCACTCGTCACACGCACTGGTTACCATGTGATATAGTCATGGCAATAAACTGAAAGTTTACATCTATCAGCAAATATAAATCTACTCACACAGCCAGCTCCAGCCTGAAGCGCCAGTTTCTATGGTTATCTGTAGACATGAAGTCCTGCACCTTCTTCAGATAGCGTCGTCTGACATCAGGCCGCAACAACTGAATAAAGCCATCATTGTTTAAAATTGAATCTGTATTAGTTGGACAAAAACATGATTTCTTAACTGAAGAAAACTACACCATACTATTTACAAATCATTCTATTACAATCTTAGCCCAAGTCTTCAGTCTACTACCTTGAACATGTCTCTCTCAACATTTTCAATAGATTTTACAGTTATAGCATCTGACATGTGTTTCAAGTCTTAGAAAATCTGTTAAAAAAACAACTTTTAACTAGAATTTTTTACTAGAGAAAATGTCAAATTTAAGGTAAATTAACTTTGAATAACTGTCAGACATACCCTCAAAAAATCTGCTAGGTGCTTGAGAACACCTATCCTAACTTCGTCTAAATCTTTCAAGAATCCATCAAAAACTGGCACCAAATCCTTGTGGGTAATCTCTTCACCAAGGATCATAGCCATTTCATGAAGTGAGAAAGCCAAAGTCCTGCGAACTTTCCACTGAAATAAAGTAAAATTCAACTTATGTGAGCATTTTCTGACCATGTACACATTGTGCTTTGACATGTTCATATTGCTGAACAACTTCAACACTTGGTCAAATTAGCCATCCACAAATAAGATAAAGCTGCATTACTGATTAACCAAGAAAATAACTGCACAACATGAATTACAATGTGAATATCAGGGGTGTGGAACAAAGCCTGACTCATTATAGAACGAATATATCCAAATTCAGATGTCTTCCAACAACCAACAAATCAGATGGACCAAGTCATTCATTATAAAAGTATTCATAAGTAACAGTATAGTTTTGAGAACAAAGCAAAAGTGACCAAACCAAACACCCTGTACATTTAATGCTTTTCTTCATGCTTTAGAACTCATGTTTGATCAATGTCGCCAATTGTACAAACAGCATGTCATACACTAAAAATAGAACAAATGTGGCGAAACTGCATGGCACATCACCAACGATCAAACAATTCATATTAACAGTAACCACCCATTTTCATGGTAACACCAATTTCGGTCAACAATCTGGACAAGTTAATAGTCATTAAGCCAGTGAATTGCAACTGTATACGTCATGGTACAATTGTTTTTCAACATCCCTGAACAGTGTTCACAAAATAGCGTCTGACCCTCTGACAAATCTGGTAGATTTGCCAACGGTCAGACAGAATCTACAACCCGCCTGCCCCAGTGTCTGACTGTATATATTTCACAATGACTTTGACTGAAGTTGTTTTATGTGAAATGTGACACTTGTTTGCTGTTTATAAATCTTATGATTGTTAATAATTTCAATGTCAATTATAAGATATATTAAATCTGAAATGTGTGTTTAATTTTATTGCATGGGTCCTGTGCATTTTCAATGTGTCAGACAGACATCTGAAACTTACAGGACCCAATATCCTGTGACTTTGAAACACCATTCGTGAACACTGCCCTGAATCCACAAAGTCAAGCGTCTTTAAAACAAGGTTTAAATCTTTAAATAAAAGCAATGAACACACAATACATACAGTGCAAGAGGAGAAGGTAACATTCAGCATGCATCTGTCATGGCTCAGGTGACCCACCAGACCACCCACAACACATAACCAGGAACAGTGCAGATACTTAGAAATATAGTAAGTAGGGAGTTTACCTCATTTACCTGCATATCTTGGGCCAAAGTTTCATACAGGTTTTTAATGCAGTGCCAATTTTGTCTCCCAAGTGTGTAGGCCACGGCAGGGAGATTGTATGCACAGTGCCGGGTAATCTCTGTGTCCACTGTCTGTGCGCGAGATGGGTCAACCATACCTAGGTAGTTCTCCAGAAGAGACTGTGGCACAATGTCCTGAAAAACAGTTAGAATAATTACAAAGGAGCAAGGGTGTGTCGGTGGTGACCAAAAAGGCAGCTGCTACAGGACCTGATCTCCTGCAGGTGTCAGCTGGTCCTTTGCAACAACTTTTCAAAAACTGGGTAGAGCCAATTAACTTTTATTTTTTGCAGGAAATGAAAATAGCAACAGTCTATATGGTCTCTTTACTAGTATGCCCAACTTATCAACACTTGGTCCGTAAAGTTCAGGTTTACAATCAATTTAAAATGGATATGCCCCGCCCCACTAAAAACGTATTCTGTCTGACCTGACCAGTGCTAAGTGCTAGTGCTAGTGCAAGTACACTCTTAAAATGTCTAATGTCTAACATCAAACCACTAATCCTCCGTTCAGGCTGATAGTCTAGTCACATCCCTAAAAATGGATAAACTTCAATTAGGCTTACTTATAACGATAATACCATCACAAAGCAATTATTAAAGGACTGACAGCAGTTGTAAAGACTTTCGTAAAGTAATGATTACATCCTTAACTACTCGGCATCATTACAACAACTCACATTACCCTGAATTTCGATACAGGACTAATGAAGTTGGTACAAAAATTACGATCTGGGACATACCTGTTGTTGAGCTAGTGTGGCGTCATCTATCAGTGACTGTTCACGAAGACTATCATGGGAAGACAGGGATAACTCGCTATCAATATAGCTTATACTACTGGTACTTAGGTCTGGAAAGTAGAAGAGAAAACGTTCCAACAAAAAAACAAGTAATAAATTTCAATCCACATCAAATTATCCCATAATTCATCTGAAATTCAGCATATGTATCATTTACTGGTTAGCTCAGGACTGACTGAGTTTAGCTTTACGCTGCTTTTAGCAATATTCCAGCAATATCATGGCAGGGGACACCAGAAATGGGCTTCACACATTGTGCCCAATGTGGGGAATCAAATCCGGGTCTTCGGCATGACGAGCCAACGCTTTAACTACTAGGCTACCCCACCGGCCCAGTTAGCTCATGAAAATTTCAATGGCAAATTAAAGGACATTAGACCTTCCTGAATTTTGATGACAAAAAGTCAGTTTTCAAAATTACCTGATGTTTACTCTATGAAGCAATTGATAAAAGTACTCTTGCACAAGAAAGCCTGACAAGATTTCATGGCTAGTTGGTGTGTGTTTTATCGAAGTTAACATGTATTCCTGTTTCTGAACTTCATAGGACATGTAGAAAGTATGTTTATGAACTATTTGTCATACATTCATGATTGTTTTTTAAAATTTCAATATAGGAAATATTTGTTTTCTTACATTATCTAAAGGTCCACAAACAAATTCTTGAACATACATGAGACCTGTTCACTAATCACACTCAAGCAGTATCCCCCTCCAACAAATGTTTCATTGTCAGAACAGCTGCAATAGCCATGTCTTTGATCCTCAAGAAGTATACAGTGACCTAAGGCCTTTCTGAGACAAATTACTGAACATAACAAACCTTTCTGCTTTAATAGAAACCAATTTATCGACTCAAGAGACCAGACATTCTAGTCTTCACATATGCAATAATCAAAGACATCAGAAACTTTCAGTATCAACCTGAATACCATGGTCAAAGAACTACTTCCCCTGTCAAACATACAGACTAAATAGTGCACAATTCCATACTGCATTTTAAGACTTTCAAAATGCTGTATCAAGAAGCAGTTCCTTTGTAACAATTTTAGCCATCCTAACTTATGTCCATATTTTGATAAATATGTCAACTGTTTTAATAATAAATGCAAGAATGGATATGAAAAAAATACAGGATGCAAGCACCTAGCCAGTGGAATGTCGCATACAGAGCTGACTAGTTCAATCCAACACACAGAACTTGCTTCTCTAAACATTTCTGTTAATTATGTCCAATAAGTACTTCAGTGCAGTAATGAATGAAAACTGACTGGCCCCATTTCCACTTAAGCCAAGGTTAGAAAATGCTTCCAATACTTGCTTTTGGCTATGAAGCAGTCATCGTAAATGTACACGAGACAAAGGGTTTGAAGAAAAATGTTTCATTGCAGTAATGCACGATACCTGGAATTTGTTTACTCGGACAAACCAGTCATAGTGCTTTTCTAAAGGTCAACTTATATTTTGTGTTATTCAAATGAAGCATTTCAGACCTTCAAAACATAACCAATTTTATCAGCTCAAACATGAATTACACATTTGAGCATTGTCAATGCCAAGCGCACATATTTCATATTTGAAAAAAACAAAACCCAAATATCAGTAAGGCTCCAATGGATCAGGGACACAAGCATGCAGAACATGAAACATTTAATTATGAACTTCAGTGATGAATCTGAAAAAATAATTTCCAGTTGGAACAAATTTTCAAGAGGCCACCGTGATTTGCATTTAAAGGGCCTTCAAGATCCCAATTCAAGGGCTTTGTAAACTAATATCTACCTTAACCCAAGCGTTATGGCCGAAAATTTCCTGAAATATCACTAAAAATTCACTGGCAATTATATTTTGCTGGTTACTCTCAAGCAGAAAATATATAGACCTGTACATCAACTGTGCAATATCAGTTTATCGATTTTGACAATACATTTCTGGATGAACCCATGCAAATGTTCTGACACTGAAACATACACAGAGGATATATCTACATTTATATTGTAAATGTTCACTCTAAAAGCTGCTCTGTTCTGATCTCAATTACCATACTGTATAAGGTTGGGATACAAGTTAACCTGGAACATGTTGCATAAGTAACTGGACCTAGAGTCTGGTCAACAAGGTCTATTAACTTTCAACATTTAACTTTTTTTTTCTGTTGTATTTCGTACATTCAGGTGTGCCCCTTTGAAGATACTAACAAGTGTGCCAACAAGACTTTCTCGTCCACATTAAAAGTGAATTTCACTTTAAAAGAGAAATTTCTGTTGAAACATTGATCCCTTCAATAACCAAGTCCTGGGTAGCTGCTGACACGAAGAAATTCCTGCTCATTGCAGGCTGCTTACCTTGCACAACACCATCCACCACTGCCATAGGCACTTCATTTATCTGCTGCCCTATCACGTGGGTGCTGCCAATATGGCTAACTGTCTCCACCTCACTCACAGTGCTCACACTTGCTGTGTGAATCTTCACGCCAGCTTGCTCCACAGCAGTAGTCTGAACAACTGGTGTCGCCTTTTCACTTACATGCATCTGAGCTATGCTCGTTGATACATCCTGAAGGCCCCTTGAAGATACAGCCACGTTCATTTCTGTTGCATAGACCTTTTTGTCGTCGTCCTGCACCTTTGCAGTGATGTGAATGTTGGTTGGGGCTCCGTCAACTAAATCAAAATCAAGGTCAACTTGGGGGAACGGTGGGCGCCAGAATTGGAAAGAATTGAAAGACTCTGTACTGTCAATATGTACATGGGTTTTTTCCAAGTGTCCAAGAGGGCTGCCAGCAGCCTCTTCTCCAGCTCCTACAGACTCCAAGGAATTCTCAGCGTCTGTAGCACCGGAGGTAGATGTGTTTTCATTTGATTTGTCTTCACTTACTTCTGTTTCTTCTTCCTCCTTTCCCTGTTGGTCTGTGGCCTGTTCTTCCTTTGTTTCCGAACTTCCAGGAGAAACTTCTTCAGGAGACTTCCCAGCCTCAGACTTTTCCTCCTCGGGTTTCACAGCTGAGTCTGTGTCATTTACATCACCGTCTGTTGATTCCCCAATCTCTTCCAAAGTCACTGTTGATTCACTGCCATCAGTGGCCACTGGTTCTTCAACTGTTACTTTGACATTGTTCTCGTACTTCTCAGCTCTCAATTCTTCTACAGACCTTTCTTGATCGCCCACAGCTGATTTCGTTGTTTCATCACTAGCTTTCACCTCTTTCACTTCTTCCTCACCATTATCCACAGCATCAATCTCCATCTTCTCCTCCCGCAAATCAGTCCCATCAGAAGAGCCCTCTTCACTTTCTTTCTCATGTCGGAAGAGCTCAGCTTCAAGGTCATCAATATCACAGCCCAAGGCTTCTTTGGCAGCTCGTTTGAAGCTCATCTCTGCCTCCGCTTCACTGAAACATGAAACCAAAACTTAATTCTGAACCAACAACACTTGCAGCAGACGTGACAGTAGTTGTTTACATGAAAATGCAAGTCATTTGTAACAGAGCTCTCTAACAATCTTTATCACCAACTGAAACAGCATAATTGTTGGCTTCAGTGCACATATTACATGATATTATGAAAAAACAATACCATTTAGCATGTGGTTTAATGTAACATATATAGACATATATGCAGTGGCTGAGAGACTGCTGACTTTGCGTGCTGGCAATTATGTGCCGGACAGTGTTGGTTTGAATCCCAGATAGGACTCGACCCAAAAAGTACTAGAATCTGTACTTAACTAAGAAGGTATAATCCCAAATATGACATGGCACATATGCTTCACTTTAAACACTCTTTGCATCAATAACTCAAACTACTCCATTTCTTTACAGAATGGTGCTAAGACTACATGACAATGAGACATTTTTTTTCAAAATCACTAATGCCAGCAAATAATTTGTCTTCCATATCAGGACAGGACAGTCAGTAAATAATGTCATGCAAACTAGGTGCGAAATCCCACACTGTCAGAGGTGGAAATAACCCAGTGCTTTTTTCTGTCAGGCAATCAAATTTGTATATCACGCTGTACCGGTGTCCAGTTGACTTTCCAATGATAATAATGTTGTTTATTTAAAAACAACAAGAAAATGGACGGTATAGTGGAAAAATGATCAGGGCAAGTGATTTTACATGTGCCACTGTACCGGAGTACACTAGCAATTTTATAGTTATTTCCACCCCTGATTGTATCGGCCATTTCACAGCCTAACCACTGGAGACTTAAGTGCTTGTCTGCCCTTGAATCTCACTGGCTTATTCGAAAAGGACTGAGTTGCTTACCTCTGCTGTTCACCATCAGGGTGGATAAAGGTGATACTGCCATCATCATTCACCACCAATCCTGTGCTGTTCGGGTCAGCAAAGGTTGAGATGAACGGTCCAAGCTGTTGAAAGGCAGCCATCTTCACCTGTGCAAAAAAATCACACCACCACCACTTGAAAACATTTGCCATCAGCTTTAGTAAGTCTCATAATAACAAAATAGACATGCGACTTTCAATTTTCAACCAGAGAAAATGTTATTCAAAAGATTTCCCCCAAAAAACAATTACAAATTGCCTCAAAGCATTCAGACATCAGTTATGGGGATTGAACACAGCTTTGAACATTATTCCAGTTTCGTGTCAGCTGAAAGAGGAAAGACAAGTGACAAGTCGAGAGATTCACCAATGTGGATGGATACATACCCATCTTGACTGGTCACAGAGCAGATTTACAAAGAGACTGGCCAGGTCATTTCGTCGGACTTCTAATGATGATGCACAGGAGACATTCATGAAACACTCGGCACATGCTTTCCGTACACCCCAGACCCCATCCTCACAGAGATAGTAAAACTTGGGAAGCTGAAATTGAAGTCACACATGACATCAAATAAAAACAACAACATGGTGACATCACAGCTGTATATAAATACTGTAAGTAGGGACAAGGCAACAATTAATTGTTGCTTAACACACATGGCGTCGATCTATAAATAATCGAGTCTGGACCAGACAATCCAACGATCATCACCATGAGCATCAATCTACGCAATTGGGATAAGATCATCTAGTGTCAACAAAGTCAGCAAGTCTGACCACCCAACCCTGTTAGTTGCCTCTTATGACAGGTGTACACCTCCGATCACACTCTTAGTATCTAGGAGGACCTATACTAGGGTACACAAAAAAGCATGGACATTAAGTTTTATAGCTCTTAATTAGAAATAAATAACTTCATGGCAACCTTTGTCTTCAATTCTGGAATCTAATTTCACAAAGCATGATAAAATTTGTAAATAAATACCATATGTTCCTCTGTATTTTCAGTTCCTACTACTGCACAGAGTTCTCCAAAATTTGCAGCACAAACCTGTAATACAAAATTAATTAAAAAAATAACAGAGCATCACAACATTCATAAATTTAAATTTTCATTCTTGAAACAGAAACTAGTTTGGAAATGTCTAAGATTTTGTTGTCATCCATGTAATGTGCCCACAAATGTAGACAGGATATTAACCTGCAACTTTTAAACATCACTGTCCTTGCGCATGCCTATCTTCACTACCCAATTCGATGGCAATTTGTTAAATATATTTACCACACACGCGCGGAGACCCATATTCCAAAGCATACATCAGAGGATGTGCATTGCAGTTAAATTATTTGCTTAGCTAACAAACTTGCTCAATTTTCTTACCTTTCTGACATGGAAGAGTGGATCTGTGCACATCTCACAGTATCGAGAGAGGAACTGACGCTCTGTGATGTCCTTCCCAAGGAGGGGGGCCATCTTGCTCATCAACTACAATACATCAAAAAAGGGCATCAAACAGATTCTCCAGAAACATTTCTCAAGTCCACCAATCCTAAAATGTACCGTCACAATATGAACTTCAATGAGACAATGGTACAATGTTGAGACCAGATTCCGTTGTGAACATAATGCCTTAAAATTATTTTATGAAATTTTGTCTTAATTGCCACTTACAGAAGTACTAAAATAAGAATTTCAAAACAGATGTACCAAAGACATCCGAGAAAACCAACTGTAGAGTTAAGATTTTGGTGTTTCACTGCCTAATTTGTGCATCTTTCATTGATGGACACATTAACAATTATTAATTCAAATTAACATGGTTACGAAATTAAATCAAATACAATTGAACAAACCAAAACAGCTCTTTGGGAAATTGAAACCTTTCTCAACACATGCAAAAAAACTTTCCAAAGTTGTCCGTGATGTCACGTGAATGAACCTCTGTCATCAAAGCTGGCTGTGATATGGAACAATGTCAGCACATCCCAACCACTTTGATGGAAGAGACACCAACACTTTTGCCTCTGACTCAAATTCCTCTTCAGGTACGCTGCAAACTAAAGGCTGAAAGGGTTATGCATGTTTAGGAAGGTATTCTGATGATAAGTCAAAGAATCAAGCTCATCAAAGCTGGCTGTGATATGATTATTTCAACACACCACAACCACTTTGATGCCTAAATCCCCTGGGTATAATCTGCAAACATATTACAAAATCATTTCGATGACAGTAGAGACTGGAAGCTCATCAAAGCTGGCTGTGATATGATACAAAAAACATTTCACCACCACTTTGATGCCTCCCAATCACTGATTGGTATAAACATCGAACAAACACAGAAACACAAATGAAATTCACAAAACACAAACTTCATGAGGATGGCAGATCAACAGAGCTCATCAAAGCTGGCTGTGATATGATCTGAAACACATTTCACAGTCACTTTGATGACCTTGTCAACCCATGTATATGTCCACGTTTTTCTTCTGGCTGCAACAAATACAACACTACTGATCCAAGCAGGCTGTGATATGGCTTGTACAACACATCCCAACCACCTGGTCAGCAGTGGCATACTTCGAAATAATCTTCCGTCGGCAGTAAACTTCGGTTAACAGAACATTAACAAACTTAGCAGTGTTCAAAATTGAGAAAATGTCTTTTTGCCTCCCTGCAAATGTGCAACATTAGCCTCAACATCTAATTTGCCATTATCTTTGATATTAGTCTTACAAAGTCAAGAAATGGCTGATTTTGCCAGACCAGAAGATAGTTGAACAGTCTTTTGACTGGAGGCTTACACTGCAGACTGCATCAGTATTTCAATGAAGAGACCTGCAGTATTCTATACTTTTGAAATTGTGAGACATTCTCAATTTGGAACACCACTTATTGATCAACTTTCTACATCAAAACTACATCAGCAACAGAACTTTATAAACACTTCCTGAACATCCAACAGTGTGAATCCAAATCAAAACTTGAAGCATGCCCTTCTCAAACTCCTCAACCAACCTGTTCCTGTAGATTTGTGCTGACCTGGTCACGACAGGTGTCATGGCTCATCAAGGCTGGCTGTGATAGAGACTGGAGCTACAGTATAACATCCAGCGTTGACGTTGCATGACATCTGTAGCCTCACAACACTCAAATACTGCACTCAAACCACAACAATGAAACAACCACCAGAGATGCATGCCCGGACAGTGTGCTAATCACATGGAATCAAGTTGTTGCCTACACTCTGTGCAAAAGACAGAGCAGTAAGATGGATTAGCAGAACATCTCACTACCCATGTCTTTCAGGCAGAATGCAGCAGATTTATCAAGTCTATGAAACATACAAGGCACTTCTACAGCTATACATTCTTGACTACTAAACTATCTGTGAACACTGCATCACTCACAGCCACTGCCTCTGTTCTGTAGTCATCAAGACTGTCAGGACAAGCCAGATCCAAGATTACATGGACTACCTGCTCCTCGATGTCAGCTGCAATAGAAAATCACTTGAATGATACTGACTGTGACAGAACTCCTGGCTTAAGGTTTGTGATTGTTTTAACCTTAATTCAAGGTCTTGTAAATATTCCCCCCTCTTCCCAAACCCTCACCTTTGACCATGAATTTAAGCGGTCAACTCATCGTCACATTAAGCAATCTGGCTTTAGTCATACATTTTCATGAATCAAACTTCAATGTCTGTGAAATCCTAGCGGGAAAACTTCTGCTTAGCCCTCGGGTGCCAGAATTATCAATTTGTAAGCTTATTTTGCTGATTAGTGTGCACTCACTTGAAACAGCTACAGAGGTGTCTCTCTGCTCATAAAAGATAACCATGACCTGACAAGCATACATCCTTCATTTGGCTGTCATTGTGCATACATGACATTGCCAGCAGAAAACTGACCATTTGCTCATTGTAACTTTTAACATGAATAGCTGGATTTATTTTATGAGAAATGAAACAATGTTTTAAGCAACATTGGGTTTCAAATAGTTTAAGTCTTTGGTTGAAAATACCAATACATTATGCAAAGAAATCTATCAATAAACAAAGTGACAAAGAATATGTCCACAAATACCTATTTGGAAAAATATCTCCAGTCCTGACAATGCTTTCAAGCCTGGTCATTTCACACTGAACCAAACAATGTAGTGGACTGTTTCTACTACCAGATACACAAGTACTGACATGACGGCATCTCTACACGAATCTCTACATAGACTATTAAATAGCAATCAAAGGCTTCCAATTTAGTTAGAATATATTTTCACAAGATTCATATCCACCGTACCTTTGTCAACAAGTTCCTGCTCTAACAGCACAAGGAGGGCAGCTTGACTTGTTTTGCGCACCTTCAACAAAAAATGACAGTCAAAACACTGGTGCACTTCAAAATCAGTATTTCCAGATTTAAATATACTGTTAACAGCAATATATCAAAGCAACCATTCACCTATTACTTTTAATAACAGTTTTGTCAGCGAGTATTAAACTAAATCAAATGCAGTTTGAATTTTTAAAGTAATGTCATTAGTGGATCGCACATTCAACACATGCTTAATAAACTCTGTCAGAGTATGCACATGCTCAGCATTCCCAGATAAAGAAATAAACTTAGGCATGAACTGTCTCGAACAAGGTGTGCAATCTTTTTTAAACCTTTATTTTTGCAAACATCCAAATCCAACCCGCATAAGAGGAAGTCTTATTTCACCTGGTTATTGCCATCGTTGAGATACCGCACAACCATTGGTAGGATGTATGTGGGCACCGCATTTTCAAACGTTTCTATGTTTTCCTGACAATACACTGCTATATGAGGTACTTGCTCCATCAACTCGGATCGTACTGTTGGTTCTGAAAAGAACATGACCATTCTTCACTTACAGGTACATGCCAAACACCCAGTAAATTTATATCACATGTATTTTATCCAAGCCTAAAGGCTCAATTTTAGTCAAATGATTACAGATAGGTAGCATCTTAGCATGGTGATATTTTCCAAAACTATATTTTCTGATGCATGAACTTTCCTATCTCTACTTTTCCTGTAATCCTTGGCTTGAATTCAGATTAAACTATTTCCCACACAAATGAGGAATAAATGAGCAAGATAGGTTGAAATTTGAATTTGACAATGCAATACCAACATAAGGTTGTAAACCAAAGTTTGGTTATCACAGAACTATCACTTACCAGAATCTTCTGATATTTTGACCATAGCTTTAAGGACGGCATGAGCCTCCTCCTCATTGGTGCCAACCGCTCTAAGTGTGTCCAACAAGCCCCTGGCAACCATTTGTCTAAAAATAGGACCACAATTTAACTCAAATCAACAACACAATCATCATTCAGCTAAGTGCACATGAATTTTATCTTTTACTGGTTGCCATGTGTGATCAACTTGCATTGCAAAAGCGTTATATTGATGAACATGCAGGAATTTGGAAAGGTGGGGACCATGGGCCATTTTGCGCATTAGAATAAAAAATGTCCCATTAAAAATTTTAAGTTTACTATTGATACAAGGGCAATGGCCCATCTAAATTCAGAACAATGGCCCATATAAATTCAGATCATGACCCCTTGTCAAAGTTCTCTATCCCAATCCCTGAACATGACAAAATACATTGCATGCTTTCAGACTTACAAAAACCTCAGTTACAATTATCAATTTTACATCACATTATGTATTTGCTTTTAAAAAAATACCTGTTGAAGATGTTGTCACTGTCGAGATATTTCTGTAACCTTTGGAGGGGTGACAAATTGTCATCTGTATCTTCACCAAGTCCATCATCGAAGCCATACCCTACAAGAACAAAATGCAATGAAAACTAGGAATCTAATAAATTAATTTGGCAAAACGTCAAGACACAAAAATGTTGAGAAAGGTTTAGACAAAAATAAACCTTCAAAATGCCATGGGAAAACAGCACAATCAACCATTCATTCATCCAAGATGTCACATTTCCAACAGATGCAAAACTTGACCAATGGTGAAGCAACTTCATCTAAACCATACTTCAAATTTCCCAAATCCAAAAGAAATTGTGGGAAATACAATTTAACTACAGCTAAATCCATAAGCTATTCATAATACCCCTCAGTTACGTCTTAAAAGTGTAGTTCACCGAAACCGTGTGCATCAACTCCTTTCAAATAAGCTAAATTTCTTTTGGTCGCATATATCTCGTCACCATGAGGAAGCCAGTTGAATTTTATTCAAAACATTGCAGAAATCATGGTGCATAAAATCACTATATAGTAACAGAAATTAAAAATGACATTTACACATTTGCAACACAAAAGCATACCTCGTACAACGATTAGTAAAACGACATTTGCTTTGTCATCATTGAAAGTTTCTCACAGGTATCTACCTCAATGAGAACAGAAGCCACGACGGTTAGTAAAAACAGGTAGGAATAAGAAATGTTCATTCTTGTATTACACGAAAATATAAAATGAATGTAAATATTAAACTATGCGGTAACAATTACTGTCAAAACCATATATCTAAACGGAATACTTGCGAAAAACAAGCTAAGTTTGGCCCAACACGTGGTTTACATGGCGCCATGTGCACGGGTAAGTCGATGGAGTGTGTAGTAACCTTGACAAACTCATCCTATTTCACACACAAATAATAAAACACAATATCTATCTACGTTAAAATGTTTGCTTACATATATCGCCTTGTATCTATGTCAAATATACAACTGTCGTCCGTGAAAAAAATACCAAGTCTCGATACTCACCTATGAGAGGAAGGGGAATTTGGCGCGCAAGAAGCCATTGGCCAAACTGTCGATACCGAGAGACCTGACCTACTTTGCGATAACAACGTGCTCTGCTTTCTCACAGCCTTAGTCATTCATGACTCAAGTACACACTATTGCAAACAGCTATCTACAAGTGCATCGCAAAACACTAACTGCGAATATGGTGCAAAAAATGACGGATACCTCATCAACAGTCGGTAATTGAAGCATCAAGCCGCGGCAAGCGAGTGGCGGGAACAGAAATGCAACGCTGAGCCAAGTTCAAAAGGTCGGCGGAAACCCCCGGTCACATGACCCCCACCATCATGGTATCCAAATCTTGGCTTTCGTCACTGTTGTGTTTGAATTGAAGGCCAAATATTCACGTGTTTTCGTGTTTCTACGATTGACATCTAACACATAGGATACAATAATAGGAAACATAGCATCCTTACGCATAATTTATAAACCATGTGATCTTTGTATTGTTTGATAACAAGTAACGGCGCGAAACGACATGAAAATCCAAGACCGTGGGCACATGCAATTTTACCATCTTCTCTCTGTGTCAAGTATAATGACAGGACATATTAATGATAATAAATTTGTAACTCACCATCGTCTTGGGTATCATCTGAGTCATCAGCATAAAATTCAATATCTGAAACGAAATTAAGGTACGTTAAAAAAGGCGCAAAAGTTCAAATTTTGAGAAACAAAGTAGTGATGTGAGGTGGACTCACCCGCCATGTTGGGGAAAGACCACGAGGTATGTTTTGAGAACTATGATTGGCCAGTACTTCATAGGGCGGCGCCTCTGATTGGCTGATGGGATTTGTTTTTCTAGGCCCTCACGGAAATAACCGATGATGGCGACGGAAACTACCGATGACTCATGCATCTTACACAAATTGCTCGTATCGTTGTTTGGGTTTCTGAATGAACTGAGCAGAGTATGATAGTAAACGCGTAGTATTACGGAGAATATCGCTTGTAACACTTCTTTTTGTGAAATGGGCATGATTCTACAAACCCTTAACATCAGTATCATCCAGATTGGGAGCAAGGCTTGTGCTTGTGTATCGCATAAACGGACAAGAACTTGTCAACACTGGCCCAGAGAAACAAAGAAAGTTGCTCGTGCGTTTTGACATTGACACGGAAAAATCTTAAAATAGAAACCAGGCAAATCAGTGCAACAACAAAGAAAACCCTCCACACGCGCGTGATATACACGATTGAATTAGTGCAAATTGTTCGGATATGTGAACGTATTACGATTATAAAGTTTCGCTGCTCGTGTCCAAATATTATGTTTGTTTATAAAGCGAAGTTTGAACACAAACAAAGGCACCCCCACCATAGCGTCCTATTATTACAATGAGGCCTGCTTGTAGGCACATTTGTACCAATTCATCACCCATTAGTGAATGAAAATGAATGAAATACTGAAATTAACAAATATGGCTTTTTCCCTAAAGTGTTCATCTTTTTTTTAATGATGTAGAACCAGTGTTGAGACTAATATTATGTTAATAAAAACTCGCATAATTAGTGAATTTGCATATGCTGACACGACCATGACCTAGATGTCATGTCGACCTGTGAAATCTTTTTGTTTACATTTTTCAATCAAACAATTTTATTTGCCATGGGACATTTTCCAATTTTTCTCTGGGGGAAATTTAACGACAGGTGAATGTTCTGATGCAAAATTCAGATGTCAACTCTGTTTTCTAGAGACGTGGAGAGGACAACAATCCAACACGCTTTGTTGACAATGACAATGAGCATATACAATCAACACACCTGTAAACGTGATTTTTTTTCTCCTATATAACCTGATGCCATATGACAGACTAATTTTGTGGTTTAAAGCTAAAACAACACTGTAAGCTGAAACTGACATGGTGGTTAGGGCCCACGGCAGTCAGTCACAAATAACCGAATCTCAACGTGATGCAAAATGAAAAATGTCAGATGAATTCAACATACCGTTATTGATGCATTCTAGAAGATTGATCTGCTTACATTTCCTCATTTTTTTCATCCTCGCCCTCTGAAAATCGCTTCACATCGAATGACAAATCAAGAAACGTGCCTACCTCAAATATATTGTTCCATAGTAAATCCATTGTATCCGTTCCCGCTCTCCACTGCTTCGAACACCTGAAAAGGACTTAAAGCTCCACGCAGCGTACTTTCCTGACCTACGACTGGTTGTACTCAATGGTTAACGGTATCGACGATGATGACGACCGAAGACCTGTTCTCTGCTTCTTAAAGCTGCTTTGTGGTTGGCAGCCTTCCTCACATGTGTATCACAAAGGGTTTACTTTTGATGAGTGATCGAGGCAGTTGTTACACTGGATATTAATAGGTCAATTATTCCGATATTCAGTACAGTTTTAGTGGCTTGTGTAATACAGAATGCCATTGTTGGGACAATGTTGATTAATACAAGGCGACTATTTTTTGTAAAATAACTCGAGTGATTATTTTATTGATTTTCTTACTTATATTTCTCAAATGGGTTCCACATTTTAGTGTATTTAACTTTAACTTGTTTGAGTGGCATTTTTAGAAGTTGAGACGTATAATATTGACTTTAATGCAACATTTTGTATGAGATGATGTAAGTTATCACAAATATATCCTTTAAATATACATGATTCGTGTTTTTTATTGCTATTATTTTCTTTTATTTTTATTTTTCAAATTGATATTATCTCATTTTTGTTGTTACCATTGTCTTTCTTGTTATTGTTGCTGTGCTTAACGTATTTGATGCAAACGCAGTCAATGTAGGACTTCACGACATGGCGGGAGGGGGGTTATAACTGACAAACGTTGAAGCCATAATTTAATGATTTTTTCTCTTTCTTTTTTTTCAAAAGAGGTTTTGAAATTTTATTGGAACATGGGGATGGCCTAAAAGATGCTCCTGCCTTCAGAAAAAAATATGATTATTTTGAGGCGATGAGTAAGAATATCCAGTCTCTCAGGGGTTATTGTGAAGCTATACCAGAATATTACAGGTGTAATATTTTTTCATCACACCACATCGCATCATTTAACATCATATCATATTCAAATCAAAAGTACAACGCTGAATACATTCTGCAGTGTGTACATGGGTAAGCACGCACAAGCATATTTCATGTAGTGCAGGTATGACTGCTACGATTGTATATACATGCATATGTATGAGGTAGTATACAAATATAAAGTCGGTACGATTCCTGTTGTCAAGGAAACGCTGTTGTTGCGGGAAAACACGCGAAATAACACACGCCCAACAAAGAGATATAGGAAAGAAAAGACTGAATATTGATGATAACAACAGTTCATTTAACACCAATATTACAACCCAATTCACCCCACGCCCCCACCCCGTGCAGACCCTCCACCATCTACACCCCCTCAAAAAAACAACAACACACACACACCCTCCAAGTTTCCTCACCGCTGGGTAGCCCAGTGGTTAAAGCGTTCGCTCGTCATGCCGAAGACCCCCACATGGGTACAATGTGAGGAGCCCATTTCTGGTGTCCCCCGCCGTGATTTTGCTGAAATATTGCTGAAAAGCGGCGTAAATCTAAACTCACTCACTCTCCCCGCCCTGGACAGTACGCCACACAGACATTCCCATCACACTGTTTGTCCTTCCCACCGTATACAGACATTCCCCCTACGCGCGGACCGTTTCTACCCACCCTAGACATTTTCTAGAAACCCTTCCCCTCCCCTCCCCTCGCAGGCTTTGGGCCTAACCCTACAGTTTTCCGACCCACCCAACACCATTCCTCACGCCACCGTCTCCATACCCACACTTCTTAGGGAGGTTTCCTATATCCACCCCATGCAGACACCTCCCAAGACGTTTTCTATATCCGCCAGACCTTTCCCACCCCGTGCACGCCTTTCCACTACCCGTACAGTTTTAGAAACATCTCCAAACAGTTCCCAACTCTTCTTTTCTTCCAAACATTTCTTCACAACCTTGTTTTCCACCCCCAAGACTCTTCCTACCTCTTCTAAACTTTCCCCCTTTACGATCTTAATTATCCTCCTTTGACCCTCTATCAAACCTTATAAGAACCTGTGGAGATGTGAGTTAGACTTGGTCTTCAGCAACCCATGCTTGTCGTTAAAGGCGGCAAACGGGATCATGTGGTCAGTCTCGCTCGCTCTGCTGATTATACTTACGTATAGGTAGATGTTCATGACGTCAGTCAGTGGATTGCCTGGTCCAGACACGATAACTTACAGATCGCCGTAATACAGCTGGGGAATTGCTGGGTGTGGCGTTAAACAACAAACAAACAAAAATAACCTCACCTTAGGCACGTCATTCACCTGGTACCGTTATCAACCTGCTCCATTCCCCATCCCAAACTGATGCTAGCAAGGAGTACCTTATCTCCATCAAGTGAGATGAGGTGAGATGGGGTTTAACGTTGTACTTTAGATTATTTCGCTCATATGACGACGTGCACGCGTGTGTATGTGTATGTGCGGCTGCTTGTACTATCCCAGACTTAAGCTGGTTTTATAGTGCTAGCCCACTGAGATACCACGCCGCAGTGAAGCATGAATACCCCACTCAGACACATCATACTGACTCCGAGCAGACCAGTCCTTGTTGTACCCATAATGCCGAGCGCCAGAAAGGGACCAACAAGTACCATATTTTAACGTCTTTAACGGGCGGACGCTCCCACCATGTATAGTCAAGTATATGGTAGGCTCGTCTGGACCAGACAAACCAATCACCGATAGTCGTCGTACAGATTTCAGGGTAGAATAAATTAGTCGTTACAGGCAACAAAATGGATAGCTTGGGATAAGGGTCCGTGATTTCTTTGATAGCGGGTGTTGGAGGAGTAGCTTAGTCGCTAAAGTGTTCGCTCGTCACACCGAAACCCGGGTTCGATTCCCTACATGAGTCTTCTTCGCCGTGATTTTGATGGAATATTGCTAAAACCTCAGTCACTCACTCGCTCGTTAATCATCGTGTGCTGTTGTTCACAATCTCAATAGATTGTCTGGTCCAGACTCGATTATTTACAGGTCCCCGTCAACAACTGGAATGTTTTAGTTCGGCGCTGTGCAACAGAAAATCGCAGCTATCGTAAAAATATATACTGTTTAAAGGAAGCACATGCTGTACAACGGTAGCCTAAGTTGCTGACGGTTTGTTCGCTTTTGTCACATGTATCGATATTGCTGTAATCAAATATTAGAACTATAGACGAAATAGTATTAACAGTGATGCTATTATCAAAA